TTGATTTTCGTTAATTTTCCTTGCTAAGAAATCGTAGGCGGTTCGATAGTATATACGGTTCGATAGTAAAGTACGTTATACACTTTCTATTAAATTTGTACTATATATTTCTTATTACGTAAGCTAGAAGTAAGTCTTTTTCTAAAAGTAGCTATTCTTTAGGTTTAAATCTTAATAGTACTAGTAAACCTTAATAATAAACTATAAAACTTTAAAGATATATTATATACTATAGTATAAACTCTTTTATAAAGTTTTATAGTATTTAGCTTAGTAATACTAGAGATATTAGCTTAAAGAGTCTCTAATAAGTAGTTTAGAGATTTCTTCTAGAAATAGATAGATATTACTAAGCTAGACGCTACTAAACCTTATAAAAGACTTTATACTATACTATATAATATATATTTAAAGTTTTATAGTTTATTATATAGGTTTACTAGTGCTTATAAGATTTAAAATCTAAGAATAGCTACTTTTAGAAAAAGGCTTACTTCTAGCTTATATAATAAGAAATATATAGTATAAATTTAATAGAAAGTATATATAGTACTATTCTATATATATTTAATATTTTATAGAAAAATATTAAGCTTTTACTTAGTTATTTAAGAAAAACCTTTTAATTTTTCTAGCTTAGTATTTTTAGAGCGTTTATTTATATAAAACGTTTATTTATAAAGTATATTACGTATTTAGATAACTTTTAAAAAAAAATCTACTTTACTTCTAGTAAGTACTATTATATCTCTATAATAATATATAAAACTTATAGTATATAGTATTTCTAACCTAGTAAAGATTTCTAGAAAACTTTTATTAAGCTAGCTCTTCTAGATATAGTATAATAAAAGATAGAAGTTTAAAAGAAGTCTTTCTAGAGTTTTTTTCTCTAACTATATATATAACGTACTTTATTACTAAACTTCTTATATTACTAAACTCTCTAAAAATACTAAGCCTCTACTAAATACTACTATTTCTATTATAACGCTCTTTATAAACGCCTAATTAACTTTAGATAAATTCTAAATATAGCTTACGCTCTAGGCTATTTAATAGAACCTAGAGCTAAGCTTACGGCGCGCTATAGCTCTCTATAACGTAGAGTAGAAGAAAGTCTATAGTTAATGTAATAGAATTACTCTATAACACGAAAAGATACCTAATTTAATAAAGCTTATAAAGAATAAAGAGTAGGTAATAGTTAAGTATATACTTAACCTAGACGCGTAAGAATTTACTCTCTAGCTTACTACTATTTAAGATATAGCTAATAAGCTACTTACTAAGTAGAGTAAGAACGCTATTAGTTAAATTTAGCTAAACCGCTTTATTACGCGCTATTCTAAGCTTAAAATATAGCTTAATTATAAGTATAACTATTAGAGAGTAAAGTAAGAAGATTCTATAATTATTTAGGCGTAGTTTGACCTAGTAGATAATATAAAGACAAAGTATAGTATTACTAATAAAGATATGTATAATTTTAATAAATCTAGCTTTATAATAGAAATAATATTATCTTAGGTAGTAGTTACTAGCTCTAAGAGATAATCGCGACTAAAGAGTCTTTAACTAGGTAATTATAAGTAGATTTTAGTAATTATAATAGTAAGAGTAGTAGGCAATATATAGGTTCTACTATTTCTTATTATTATAGGTAAAAACTACCTCTTAGCGTAGTATAAAGGTAGCTAGCTACTACGTAATTAGGTTATAGCTATCTCTAAAAGCGGCTAGATAATAAATAAAGTTAGTATTATATAGTTAAAGCACTTTAACGCATATACTAAGAGTCGCGTTATAGGTGTATATTATCTACTAATTTTAGATAGCTATAAAAGCTATAGCTTTATTAAATTCTAGTAGTACTATAAGAAGAATAAAATTATAGTTCTCTATATACTAGTATATTTATTATATCTTCTATAGCTACTTAACGTTAGCTACTTCTTACTATTAAAGGTAGTATATAGACGCTAAGTTAAGAACTTAATACGTAGCTATATTAACTATATTATAAAAACTAAGTTTCTATCTATATTTTATATAGCTTTTTATACGTTAATTATAGATAATAATATTAGAGTAGAATTTAGAAATACTAGCTTAGTTCTATTTAATCTAGATTTAGTAGTATTAAAGCTTAAAGTTTAATTACGTATACTAATACTCTTTACTAATAATACTACTATCTAGAAGTATAAAATACCTAGTAATCTTATTAAAGTAAGATCTTAATTAACTCTAATTTAATTAAAGATTATATAGCATCTTAATTTATTACTAACTTATATTATTAAGTTATTTAATTAGCTTAAAAAAGATAATAAGCTAATAGTATATTAGCTAGTACTTATAGAGTCTAAAGTTACCTAGCTTTAAGTAGCTAACGTATAGAAAAAAAAGTATAATTTATATAAAAGAAAGTAGATTTAGAAAGAGAAAACTCTTATAATTAAAGCTAGCTTATAGCTAGTTACTTAAAAAAAGACTATAGATTAGAATAAGAGTAAGAAGTAGTATAAAGAAGTAGTAGTATATAATAGCTAGCTAGCTTAGTAACGCTATAGACGCTATAGTAAGCTAGAGTATAATATATAAATATACTAGATAGTTAAAGATAATATAGATAAGTTAGATAGCTTATCTAGATTTATCTTAAGTAGCTTAGAGTTAGAGTAATCTAAATAAGATAGTAGTATTTAGTAGAGGCTTAGTATTTATAGGGCGTTTAGTAGTATAGAGTATTTAGTAATAAAGTACGTTACTACCTATACTATTATATACCTACCTCTAGAGATAGGTAAAATTATGCCGTATAACTAGTTCTAGCTACAGCCTCGAACCTAAGTAGTTGCCCTCTTAGCCTAAGCGGATCCTAAGCTAAAGCTAAGTGCGGCCTTAGGGTAGAATAATCGCCTCTCTGCGCGCCTTAGAGCGGGGCGTGTTTTACCCCTCTTAAAGCTAGTTATTCTTTCTCTAGTAGATGCTAAGTAGCTCTACTAAAGGCTGCTACCTTATACTAACTATACCTATTAAAAGCTTCTAGAAACTAACTTGTCCTTCTAATCTCTCTAGCGCGTACCTACCTAGATAATATTTAAGTTATTATATTGTATTAAAAATTATAGCTACTATATTTACTCTTATTATTAGCCTAATTCTTTTACTAATAATCTAATAGTAGTTATTTAGCTTTCTACGCGCTTCTCGTAACTATAGCGCGAAAGAGCTTTAGTACTAGAGTAAACTAGATAACGCTAATAAATCTCTTAGCCTGTAATAGAGAAGTTCTATTAGCTTACTCTACTAGTAACTAGAGCTAGGTAATAACCTCTAGTAAGGTAACGTAGAGTTCTATATATAGTACTTAGTAAAAAATAATAATACGCTTTAACAAACTATAGTTCTCTTTAGACTAAGTAAATAGTATAGAATCTATACTAAGTAGAAAGTAGCAACTATAATTAGAGCGTTAGCCTTTCTAGATAGAGCCTAGCTATAGTAAGACGTTGCTAGCTTTAACAGCTAGTAGAGTAGTAGTAAATCTATGTAAATATAGCTTAGTCCTTATATTACTATAATTAAGAGAGCTAGCTTATAATTAAGTAGAACGAATTTATACAAGCGTAACTAAAGCTCTAGATAACTAATATTTAGGTTATTGTTGTAACGTAACTAACACCTATTCGTAATTAAAGTAAGAACTTTAGTTTTTCTACTAAAATTTCTAGATCTAATAACCTACAGCTACTATAGCCTTACCTCTTCTATACTATTAAGACTATCTGTATATACTTTTAACGCTATAACTATTTAGTATAATTAGACGTAGTTCTACTATAATATCTTAGTAAAGAGCTATTTACTAGAGTTAGCTATAATTAAAGAGTAAGAAAGGCGCTACCTTAATAGAATTAGGTTTTAATAATAGCTTAACTACTTACGTGTTACTAGTTTAATTAAAAGCCTTACTACTCTAATTACGTTAAAGAATATAGATTAAATAGCTAAGACTATTCTAATAGTACTTTAGGGTATACTATTACTAATTAGATAGAAAGGGTTTTAGGACAATCTAGAGACTAGCTAGAGAAGCTGTAGTTAGGCGAAGTATTATTAAATGCCGCAACGACTAGGCATCTGCAAAGTCTAGAGGTAGAGCTGTTTAGTCTCTTGTTAAACTGCTATAATCCTTGTTGCTTAAGTAGCGTAGATTAATATAAGCATGCTATAGAGGCGTAGGTTTAATATAGACAAACGTAGATAGTAGAATTCTAAAGTAAAGGTAAGATTATATAGAGAGATAGGCCTAGTAGAGACATAAATTAGCTAAAGAGGCTATATAATAGCTTTACTACCTTATTCTTATAGGTTAGATAATATAAACACGTATAGGTAATAGATAATATAGCTAGATTTTAAGTTAATTTAAGTTACTCTAGTAAGTTACTTGCGAAATTTTCTAAAATTAGTACTTTCTAATAACTATATACAGTCTAGCGCCCTATATTTAGTCTAGCGCCTTAGTACTACTCTGCCTACCTCTTAGCCTTCTCTAGCTTTTAATAGTTATTAAATACCTTATATATTCTATCTTCTATCTCTTTCTACTTTTCTATACTACTAAACTACTTCTCGCCTACTACAGTCTTCTCTCTCTAGCAGCTTAAGGCCTCTAGGTAATAACTTCGCGTCTATTTTTCTCTAACACGCTCTTTATAACTATAGCCTAGGTAGTATTCTTATAAGATAAGCCTACGTGCTATAGTGTTCTCTTACGCTCTAACGTCTCTTTACTTATACGTTACTTTTCTCTAGACCTATTCTTATAGTTAACTATCTCTCTAAGTAATCTACTCTACTTCTATAATCTAAAATCTAATAAGTTAGTAATATTTATCTACTTACTCTCTTTACTTACGCTAGTAACTAGCTAACTATTATCTTACGTAAACAAAAGTTGTTATATAACTACTAAGGTAGAGCGTAAATTAGTTAGAATTAGGTTAACTAGCCTTATTTTTTGTCTTAATAAGAATTATATTATTAAGGTTGCTAAAACCTTTATAGTAGATAACTTTCTAGAGTATAACTTAGACTCTATAGAATATATAAATAATATTAATTATAAGGCTTTAGAAGTTAAAAAAATAATATATAAGCGTCTAGAAGATTATTCTAGAATTATACGTTACTTTAAAACGTCTAGTAATAGAATTAAACTAGTATTTATAGTTAAAGAAGATCTAGAGAATTTTATTAGAACTAATACTAAGCTACTCTAGTACCTTAAGGTCTAGTAGATTTTGTTTCTTATTAACGCGCTGTTCTACATCTATTTGTAAAGAGTTTTTATAGATAAAATTACTCTCTAGAATATTTTAGTTAATAATAGGTAGCTTAAATTTTTAGACTTTAGCTAATTATACTTACTACTAATAACTACGAATATAGACATAGTCTATAAGAATAGATTAATAGTAAAGATTAAGATTCTTTATCTTAGTTAGATTATATATTTAATTTCTATTTAGGCTATATATAAATACTACTACTTTAAGTATAAAGACCTATAATAGCTAAGTTTATAGAACCTTTCTCTAATAGACTATGTTTTCTATAGTAGTATTATTTAGAAATATTAGAATAGAGATTATGTTAACATAGAAGACCTAAACAAGAATATACTCTTATTAGCGAATTAGACTTGTTACTAGCGTTAAGAAACGCTAGAATTAAAGTTAACATTTCTAATAACTTAGAATTATTTTAATTAACTAGGCAGCGGCTTTACTAGTGCTTCTAATAAATTAGTTTTCTAACAAAAATTTAGTTATTAAGACATTTCTAACTATAAAGGTAGCCTTTAAGGCAAGATTCTAAAAGGTATTGTAGAGAATTAGTAGTAGAAGTGCTAAAGGGAAAACTAGCGTGCTAATTACATAAGAAGCTTAAGAGAAGAAAACGTAGAATTTGTAAAGCGTCTAAAGTACTTATTACTACTATTAGATTTAATTCTCTAAGTACTACACTAGAACTTTGCTCTATACATGCTTAGCCCTAATTATTAGGTAATTCTTAATTCTAAATATTATGTAAGTCTAGTTTAGTGTTTACTAGTAAATCTACTAACTTAGGCGCCGACTTAGACTCTACCAGGCTGTACTGCGTAGCTCGAGCTCGAGCCGCCTGCTCAGTACCGTTATCACTATCCTTCTTTGGTGCAGGTCTTTTTTTCTTTTCGCAGGCCGTGCAATCCCTCCTTCGGTTGGTGCTGGAGCCCTTGGAGGTGTTCGTAATTGGGTCGCAATAGGCCGCCGGGGACCGAGTAGAAACGAGCTCGCATGGGATGACCCTAGAGTTTGGTGGCACGTTTTCCGTGTGCCCGCACTTGAAGGTCACTGGAGCAGGATCCTATGAACATGGCGCACAATGCTGTATCTCGTCAAGCAGTTGCTCGACGGATGTACATCAGCAAGTTCCAGGAGGCTGAGAATGGACTTCGAAACAGGGGACGGTGCCTCAAGCGGTCTTTTCCCGATTTACTGAATAGTGCGGCATCAAGGATATATGCTTGTTATGACCGCATCGAGTCTACTGGGGACGGTGATGAGGATCTAGTCCGAGAAATGGTACGATTGGCATTTGGATTTGATAGGGATCGAACTAGTCAATATCTGAAGAGCATTGAAGACAGGGTCAGGCAAGCAAACATCATGCAGCGGAAAGCTTAAGCCATCTGGGCTTAACAACCTTATTATCGTCCGTTTCCGTACGCTCCTACCGTCTATATGCTTCTTCGAGTTTGACTGGGAGCGGATGTGGAAATCGTCCTTGGTGTTACTATAGATTATCTTTCTCCTCTGGCGCTTTGACGTTTAGTTCTCTCACACAAGTACACATGACTTTGACAGATTCTAACTTATTCAAGCTGCAACGCATATGGATTCAATTCACTATGATATTGGCGGCCGCCTCGCCCGTCTCGCACCTTCACGCTGCACTCCTGTCTCCTTATCCGATCGCAATGTTAGATGCGGCGCTTAGCGTTAACCCTTGATCGTCTCGACTACCGGTTACCGGTGCCACCCCCTTCTGTTTGTGCTCGACTGGGGTATTCTTTATCTGCGCAGCTATTCGCCGACTTCGCCGGAGCATCTCGGTCGTACCTGGCAGGCGATTCCTAACAGTAGGACCACCTCGCGTGGTATAGTTGAACGCCCCGGTCGACGGCAATTGTGAAGCTCCATTCTTAGTAGGAGCATCCCGCTGCCGTTGAGCTCCTATCTCACTCGTCAGATTCGACATCCTTGACCCGGGTAGACTAAAAGGAGAAAACCTACTAGAACGGATAAGCTTCTTGGTAGAGACTTGATTGTCCGCGAGGTCTAAATTCGCCCCATCGCCGCCTGGTCTGCGTGATGTGCTCAGTTTCGTTATCGTCCCCAATCGCGGACTCCGACGGACTCGGTCTGTGGGCTCTTTCGCTGACCATGGATCCTCAACGGCAGGCAGTCGGGCGGTAATTTTCGTCCTCTTCCTCTTACCTCTCGCTCTCGAGGTCAACGCGCTAGAGGCATCAACTTCTTTGGGGACAGCAGATAGATAATCGCGCTTTGTAGACGTCAGGCGTTGGTTCCAAGTTAAAAGGCGCGGGGCTAGGCAGGTCATCGTTGCGGACTGCGCCAGGTAGTGGTCTAGACGCTCGACGTTCTTCCTCAAGAAAGTCCTCGTGCATCCAGGTCAGTTCGTCTCATGCAGGATTCCAAATCCCGTCTTCGATCTAGTTCTTCTTGAAGGCCATGCCGTGTATATCAACGATTCCAGTAGCCCGCTTGAATTGAAGCTCGTCTCTTATCCATTCGCGCTCCTTAGATAGCTAAAAGAGAAACTTTGGGAGGGCTGGGAGGCTGCGTCGTCTCTCCTGATAATAGGTAGGCAGACAGACGAAGAAAAGTAGAGCAGCCCGCGCTGAACCAAGACGCGTCAGGAGCAGGCTAGCCTGATTGAGCAGGACGGCCTTGGCAGCCGCCTAAACCTTGGAACCGCCGGGTAATGGGCGTATACACTCTTGAAGGTTATCGGCATCTTTTTTACGCGGGCTGTTTGATCTGGGGATTTCTTTCCCGCGAGAGCTGCCTGACCTCTTAGCGCTCCCGAAACCGACTGTCCCGTAGCCTAGAGCGCTTCCCAGCCGCCGGAGCAGTTCCTCTACCAATCTCTCTCCACTGGTGGTTATAGCTTTCAACTTACGGACTTTGGCCTTTGCAATCGCATTGTCGACGCCCAATTATTGGTTGGGTCTCTAATATATATGGCACCCGAGGTCTTCGAAGGGAAGCGACAGACATCGAAAGTAGACGTTTGGTCCCTTTTTATGACAATAGCGCACGTATTAAATGCCAATGGATTCCGGGAGAAGCCGTTCCACACGAATGCATTGCGCATCAGGGCAGCACGGGAGGCCGCGAATGCGACTGGGTTCCACCACATCGAAGCCATGGCGATCGTCGAACCAGAGCTGCGAGCCTCGGCGGCAGACATGCTGGATAAGCACTTCAACGGGGAAGGGCGTGCAATTCGACCTTAGAAGACACCGAAGAGTGCTCCTCGAGTCAACAAGGGTGCAACAGCACCACGAAAAGGCCGAAAACACAGAACTGGGAAAAACGTTACTGAGAATCAAGGTCAGACGCTCGAACGGTTCGTGGCTAAAGAGAAGCGAAAAATACCCGCCACATTTCAAGAGCACATCGCTGACGTTGTACGACGGGATACGCCTCACTTCAGTTAAATCTCATCTCACCCCTCTCCCGACTGTGGTTTCTTGATGCTTGTTGCGTTGATAAAGTAGAACTATCTTGTTCAATACTAGCAGCGCTACGCCCCTAAAAACCCCATCATTACGTTCATTTCACGAGGATTCGTTGATTTGGTGGCCGTCGCAAAACGGCCTAACTATCGCCGACAAGGACATCAACTCTTAGACAGTTAGGCGCGACAGCTCCCAAGTGACCTCTTCCCTCTCCCCCGAATATGGGTCTGCTACGCCCTGCCGCGTCTTACCTACACCACCTTTATCCCTCTTTCTCTTCCAATTCGGCGAGACGGGGCCAAGCACCGGCCGAGGCGGTCGTAGCTCCGAGCGCTCGAAGTCGATGACCATCGTCCTGCCGATGCTGACGTCCCGAAGGATATTGCGATTGGCGATGTCGCGGTGTAGGACGTCTAAGCTGTGGATTGCCCGGACGCAGCTTAAAGCCTGCTCGGTGATTTGCGCGCGGTTGTCGGTAGTGATCTGTCGGGAAATCGGCATGCCTCCAAAACTTAGGAACATGACGTATGTGAGCTCCGCGATGCCCTCGTAGTAGACCGGCCGTACAAGATTGATGTTTCCTATGTGTACGGGGACGAAGAGGCCTTGGATAGGGCGGAGCCGGTCGTAGACGGCGGCTTCGTGCTGGAGATGGTGGACGAAGTCGGGGGGCGTGCACTTAGCGACGAGTATATATCCATAGGATGCCAGTCGCACCCTGAACGGCACCCCGCGGGACCCGCATCTGCCAATTACCTCGAAGTTTGTATCCATGCACTCGGCGAGCTGTTGCTGCATGAGAGTACAAAAGGCGGCCGCGTCGATCTGGTGATGGTCATATCCGTGCTGGTCTATATTAGGACATGACTTGTCGAGGGGCCCGCCGTCGAGTAAGCCGCGGAGGCATTCCTGCGTGCAGTACTGCTGACCCGCACGGTCTCCAGATGTCGTGGTCTTCTTCGATGACGAACTGGCCGCGGCTCGGAGCGGCAGCTCCACCGCCCGCGAAGAAGGTGGGGGTCGAGCTCGTCGGCTGGGTGTTTCTGAATCGGAACCGCTTTGATCACTGTCGCCGAGGGCAGATGGGTCATTGGACCCGCAGGACCGCCGGACGAGGGCGCCCCGTCGAGGTCGCAAGCGGATGGGCGACGCGCGAAGAAAGCCAAGCTGGCGGGATGGCCGATACTCCGAAGAGGGTGCTTCTGTGCCCTTCGGCACCGCCGCGACAAATTCATTGTAGACTATATCCCAAGTTTGGAGCTGCTTCAGGGCGCTAGCGCGCCAGTCGTTGGGGCGCTGCACCTTCCTGAGGCTTTGGAGGGTGAAGGCGAGCATTTGGCCGACTGCGGTAAGATGGAGCCGATTGTCCTGGTCTCCATCCGTAGTCCATCCGGTCGAATCGCCAACATCCCCTTTAGGTACGGAGAGGTAGAAGTAGACGGTACTTGGGTCCTCCTCAGGCACCCTAAGAAAGATGGTCGCTTCGCCGATGCAGACGCATCCAAACTCGAGACCGGAACGGATCATGTACGAGAAGACCTGGGTAATGGTCGCGGCTACTAAGCGGCGCTGGCGCTGCTTCGGTTCCTCGTTTTTACCTTTGAGTTGGACGTCTTCTAGGTTAAACTCCTCCAGCCCTTCGTAGATGGTGCCTAAAGTAAGCTTATGAGGCGGCTTGTATTCCATAATCAAGGCGGGAATACGTTTGTGTGCACCACTGTTGTAGACGCAGAACTGGTCCGCGAGGGGGCGAAGAGTCGGCGTGGGAGTCGACGCGGGAGTCGGCGTGGCGGGTGGCTGCGAGTCGAAGGATTGCCCTCGGGCCCTTATAAGTGCTGAATGACTCGGGCGGGGCCCGGACTGGTCCAGTTCCGGCGCCGAGCTGAGCGTGTTGGCGTGGTTCTCAAAGTCCACCGACCCCTCTAGCTTGAAAGCTTGCCGCAGTTCCTCGTCCTGCTCATAGAGCTTGCTGACAATGAGCGACACGTGCTCATGCACCGTGAGTCGCTCGAAATAGTGCAGGTCAAGCTCCGAGCTCATCATCCTGCGCCTGACCATCTCTCCGTTCTGTTGTAGAGTGACGGTCGATTGGAATTGGCGTGCGTGGATGAATTCCGATTTCACCAAAGTGTCCCAGATGGCTATCTGCAGGGTAGGGAAGTCTGTCCAAAGCCGTAGTCGATCTGGTCGGGCCTTCTTCTTCGCGTTGGATGGATCGCCTTGTGTACTCATGCTCTTCTCGTTAACGGATAAGCCGCAGTGCAGGTGAGTGTGAAGGGCATCGAGATATTCGGGTAGGGTAGTATTGCGATTCTTTGCCTGCTCCTTGTCTCGTGCCAGCTCTGCGGATCGCCGTCGTTGCTGCTCCTCCTCTCGTGCCAGCTCTGCGGATCGCCGTCGTTGCTGCTCCTCGTCTCGTGCCTGTTCTGCGGATCGCCGTCGTTGCTGCTCCTCGTCTCGTGCCTGTTCTGCGGCGTTTCGTGCCAGCTCCGCCTCTCGCTGAGCGCGTCGCGCTTCCTCGACCTGTAACACAAGCTTTTGATAGGGTGAGTCGTTCATCGTGAAGACGGTGGCCGAGCAGATAAGCTTCGAGATGTTGTTAAAGCGTGAGGATGGGGTGAGGATGGTGTAAGCAGAATGGAATGGAGCTTTGTTACAAAGGGTCATCCGCGATGGATACGGGACACGTAGATCGACTTTATGTAATCCTTGGCTGTCTCACCAGAATCGCTCGGTCATCCGATTGAAGCCAGGAAATCGCTTAAACTGGGGTAATAATCGATATTTCTGGCTTGCAGAGTATGGCAGAGGGATACAGAGTCATCCTATAAAGTTATTATCGCCATAGTGTAGTGTACAGTCCTCAGCGAGCTTTCTCCACTGCCGAGGAGCGAGGTGCTCCTCCATATACGCCTCCATATCGGCGTCGCTCTGCTAGATTTCCTGTATATATTTGACGGCGGCTTTCTTGCTTTCCTTGCTCGCAGAGGTAACGTTGTAGTTCGCGATAAAGCCCTTAAGTTAGCCAAAACAGTGCTCAATTGGGTGTAAATCTGGAGACCACGGCGGGTAGTCTGTAAACGCGATATCAAGCTCGTCAATTATCGCAGCGACGTATCGGCGAGCTTTGTAGTAGATAGCGTTCATGCCCTTGCCGTCGACGTTGTACGTAAAAATCTCATTCTTGAAGAACTGTTTAGGGCTCCGGCGTTTCTTAAGACCCTTCATGCCCTTGTGGCCAGGGTGGCAACTTTTGAAGTCGCAATTATATTTATTAATTTCCTCGTTGAACGCAGTTAACTCTCTGTATTCGGGCGTCGTAGGATTGAGGGTAGCAGCTTGTTTACGCTCAGCTTTAAGTTAGGCTTCTTCGTTGGCGGCGATAACCTAGCGTTCGAGGGTGCAACTTCGCGCTCATCGGGCAGAGCCTATACGATACATGGGCGCTTGTAAGAGCAGCGTACGTAGGAGGACGTCGCGGCGCAAATTATAAGGCTGAATTTGGGCTTTTTAGTGTGTACGGCGTCCTTGTTTGTGTTGAATTTGTGGCCGCGCGGAGCGCTTACCTTCTGCTTGCCACCTTAAATATTGGAGCCTCCGAAGCCCTTGGAAGTCTTATCGTATGAGACAAATATAATCTATAGATAATTTAGATTAAGCTCCCTTATCAGCCACTTGCTGCAGTCAACCCGATCGTCCTTATCGTCTTAATCTAGGGCTGTTTTCTTGGGTCGTACTTTACGGACAATCGCGTATAGATAGCGAGCGTCGCGGTACTCGCGGGCGACCCGTTCGACTTACCGCCGATTAAGGTCGCTCATCCCCAGTTCTTGAAGCGCTGGACGAGCTGCAACATGTTGTTTCTCCGTTTTATTGTCTATAATAGCCTTTCTGATTAATAGCGACTCCTCAGAGCTATTAGGGACCCGGGGGGGCTTGCCAGGGCGGGCAGAATCGTGCGGAATCGACTCGAGGAGCTCAGTGAGGCTGGCGGGCTCGCCACCAGCCGTTCGACGGCGCGTTGCCATATATTGCTGGCGGAGGACTTTGGGATGCCGGTTTTCGACTCTATGAGGCGAAAATTAGCATTGTTAACCTTCCTGAGCGTGATAACAGCTGCCTGCAGCGTTGCAGCGTAATCGGCGACCCCCGGAGGGCGCGTTTGGTGGTTGTGGGCAGGCATGAGAAAGTGAGGTGTCGAGAACTTCAGGTTCAATTATCGCGATTTGCCTATTCGGGAAACGCCTATTCCTATCTGGGTACTAGCGCGGTCGCTTGACGGCCAATCAGAGCCTTAGGATCCGTCCAGGGCTATCACCGTATCGACCGTATGTCCCATATCCCATCGCGCATGACCCTTTGTAAACAACAGCGCTCGGACCAAACAGCGACGGCTGATCTTGATTTGGTTAGCGCTGGTTTCCCCGGGTGATCGCAGGCTGCTCCACCAAGTGGCTGCTCCTCTGAAGCGTCGCGGCGGCAGGAAGCAGGAAGCCTGGCTCGACGAACAAGCCGAAGCAGCCAGTCGCGCACCTCAGCAGCCGCCTCAGGTCGATCTCGCTGCTGCGATGGCGGTCGCCCAGGGTAGTACCTTAGTTACGTGCTGTTTTCAGGAGGACGGGCCAACTGCTGAGTCAGCTAGCGCGAGCAAGGCCTATTTTCTCGCCAACTCTACTTTTGAATATCGATTATTCTAACGAATTCCTTCGTCCCGCGCTTTCGCGGCCAATGAGCCCTCCTGTCTACAAGATGCCGAACAATACTTGGTTCACACCCTACAGATTCCCCGCATGGAAATGCCTTAGCCACGGTCCGTCGCAAGGGATCGTATATGAGCTCTCGGAGACGACGGTCGTAAAGGTACCCTTTCAATATCCAGTCAGCAGGGCGGTACCCCTAGACGAAGCAAACGAGCAAATCTACATGTCCTTACAGAGTTTCGCCCTTTTTAATAAGGAGCGCGCGTTTTACGACGTACTCGCCAAAAACCCCCACCCGAACCTCGCACAAAGGTTGCAATGCAAGCAACTCTCCGGTATCGTTCTACAACGCTTTCAATCGCTGGATCAGGCATGGAGCCTGAACACGAAGGAAATACACGTCATCTGGATCCAGCAGCTACTTAGTGCTCTAGAGTGGCTTGAAAATCTCGGATACACACATGGGGATTTGAAAGTTCACAATATGGGTATCGACGAGAATAATCGACTGCGGCTTTTCGACTTCGGCTCTGTTAGGCACCGCGACGATGAAGGCTTTTATGAGCAGGTTCTCAAGGACCATTTCGCTTTGGCAACATGCATCCACTTCTTAGCATCCGGTGTTGACCCTCTCGCGAAGGCCAACAGCATTGCGGAATTACGACGAACGTTCAGTATCCTCAAAGGCGGCCAAGGTGTTGTTGAAGAAGCGGCGAGGGACTTTGAGGGAGTGATTCAGGCGGGCTGGATGGGGGTCCATCGACCAGCTGCTAGTTTCTCGCAGTTACGAAAGGCTATTGCAAGCATTAGTGGGCAAATTAACGTCAACGGAGCGCACCAGAACGATAAGTCTTGCCCAAGTCTGCAGTTGGCTTGTGATGACTTGGTGGTGGAGAAAGATACTAGGTGGATGGATGAGGAGGACTATCGTGCAGCTTGTAAGGCGGATGGTTTTGAGACGCTTGATAATATCTGGGACTGATATAGACGAGCTTGACTCTGGAAGTATGCTAGTTCCATGTTCATGTGTAATCGCCATACCCAACCCTAGAGTCGATCGGTCCCCATCGCTCGCTCTCTTGAGCATAGGAAACATGATGCCAGTGCTTTGGCCCCGAGATTTAACTAGGTGCGTCCGCAGCCTTACAGTCGTCACAGAAGTCATTGACGACCTTGTCGGTGATAGAATGGTTGAGTAGAGGGTTGGCACAGTTTGGACCGTTTGGTTTCAATGCGCAGTCGTAAACTTTTTCTACCCCTTCGGCCTTGTGATTGCATTTCCGGTATTTCGTGCCTGGAGCCGCTTTAAAACACATTTCTGTCAAAAGGCTATTAGCTAGTTTGCACAACAACGGAGGTATCCGGCTTACTCGTACTTCTTGCTGAGAGGCGTCGTTATTGAGGAGTGCCAAGAGTGGAAACGTCCAGAAAAGGGGAAAGTAGCGTTGCTGGATACGGACGCAAAATATTGCGAGAAACGAGATGTATATTTATAATGGATTAGAGCAAGCGGCCAGATGCACGATGCTATGGGCTCAAGCTTGTGAACGGACGGGGAAGAGCGATTCTAGTGCGGGGTTCATGCACCATTGGATCCCGCTGCCTGAGCTTTGCACCGTTTCCTAGAGATTTAGGCTCACAAATAAAAGCATGCCACGACGCGGAGACACGATGGGCATGCGGAGACAGAGGAGGGGCGGCCCCACCGAGCTGAGGTGAATGCCGCTGTTGCCTCTGGCCCCCGATCACGGATCCGACTGCTACTTCGACTTGCAGGCTCATTGAGGATTTTGCGGGATGACGTCCTCTTCGCAGACATCATTTCGCGCAAGAGACATCTGGACAGCAAGCTGGAATCGGCGTAGCGTCGAGAGGAAGGGACAATGACACGAACGGGTGGGGTGGATACGGCCGACGGCAGAGGACCATCTTGACTTTGGGGTTCCTGCGGGCAGGTGTAACACCGTCATTATTCGGATCGGCGGCTGACAGCAGCTTAGCAGTTAAACTCGGTTGGAGTTGGGCGGTCACCCATAGCGCTTATGCTGAGCTGGCCGGGCCCCGATCATCCCGGACGTCTCACTCCAGACATCGGTCTCTGATTAAGCCGTCGCATCAGATTCGGAGCAGACCCTCGGAAATTCATGCCGGCTATCATCCCAGACGTCTAGAGAAACCCGATTTCCATGGAGATCCAGTTGCATCGGATCTGGAACACGCGCAACCGACGCTCAGATCTCCACAAATCTCTGGGAAGAGGGGCCATGCTCGAAATATCTAGAATCCGTGAGAGAAAACCCGGAAGCATCAATAGCTGCTGATATTCAAAAAATGATGCTATTATGAGAAAGTTTGGTGGTTTTGGTGGTCCTACACATGGGGCCAGGTCGCACCCCCGATGCAACCCCCGAGAAGTCAGCCACCAAAGGTGTCGCCCGACAACTCGCACTCTTTGGAAGTTCTGGGAGCTGCGACCGTTTTGCGCGCGAAGAGTCATGGGAGCAGTGGAAAATGGTCTCTTATAGTGCCACCTCCTACATGAATGGCAGATGTAAAAACACATGCTGACTAATGTCCCCCGTGAAAGGCTATCAAAGAAAAGATCGAACGGGCAAGATGGCGTGAGAATGCAGGCACGGAAGGGTAGGAGACTATTCACCGGTAGGAGGAAGTAAGCACTTCTGCTATAAGGTACTCACGCGCTCCAAGCAGCCGCTGAGCTTCTATGGTCAGGCTCTCCGGCCGCCCAGTCACGAGGTTCTAGTACTAATTGGGGATAGCGCAGCCTTGTCCTACGAAGTGAGCCCTGGAGAACTGTCTTGCGGAGATGCAGAACCCCAGCCATATAGTCAACTTCAACTGGCATAGAAACATATCCGGGAAAGTGCCACCACGAAGATAGGGCTGCAGGCCCGCCGTGTGCTCACTTACAGTGTCCGCCGGATGTGCTGCACGTGCTCGGCTCGGGTCCGGGGCTACGACGTTCCGATCTTTGGAGGCCCCGAAACTTCTCTCACCATCCTTGCCGCGTCGGACAGCGCGCGTACGCTTCGACGCGGCCGTCGACAATGGCGAAGCGGTCAAGAGCGAACAATAGACCGGACACGAAGCCGCGGAAAAGGCGCGCCGAGTCGCGCTCGGCCCGCAGTACGTAGGCGCTTGTTTCCCGCTCCCTCTACTAACCATTCGCAGCTCCCACTGCCTCGCTAGCTCGTTCAAAAGACGGTTTTCGCCTCCGTCTCGGCCGCGCCTCCTCTCTCTGGCGCTACGACTCCCTCTACGACCCCGGCATTGCACACACCTGGCTGCGTGGTGATGTGGCAGACGTTGCCCTCCCAGACCTCCCCGGCGGACGTGTTCTCATACTCGATATCCTCCAGTACGACGATGGGCACGCGTCGGAGCAGGACACATGCATTGCTGCGGCATGGCTGTACAACGAGGAAGACGCGCTTGAACAAGGTGTTGTTCTAAGCTTGGCCCCAGGGGAGACGCATGTGCTTTCCTCAAACGTGCAGGTGTTGGACATTGCCACCCTGAAGGCTCCATTGGACCACATGCAGCGCGAGCGGGAGGTCAATGAAACTCAGATCATCGACTTCTCTGGTCCCCGGTTTTGCGTGCAAGCTATGGTCGCGGGTGATGCCCCCAAACACTGCGCTGTCCATCAAGCCCTGCGCATATATAATCAGGAGCACGGGAGGGAAGGCACGGTACGTAAAGGCATCACAGGGCACCTTGCGGGCATCATGAGCTCGACTTCCACATGGGCATACTCTGGTGGAATTGCGCTGACCGTGTACCGCTAGACAACCCCGGACCACCCTACAGAATCTCAGGCTGCAGATCAAAATGTTGGCGGCGCAGAGCCGGGAACGGAAGGACTTACGACCGCGGACAGTCGACCGCAACGTCTCACTCCGGCCGTGGATTTCGCCCATTCTCCCGAGCCGCAGGCTCCGACACCCGCGGCTACCTCGACAGTGTTCTCTCTGTCCTCCCCATCCCCTAAACCGAAACCGAAAGCGACTCCACTCCAGTCGGTGCGCGACTTCTTTCGCCAGGTCCAAGGATGAGCCAGAACCTCATTAGAGGTCGGAAAGCTCGACAGTACAGGAGCTAAAGGCATATCCTGAGTACAGAGGCGCTGTACCTCAAGATCCTTTCAGAGCTATGGTATTCATCATTCAACAATGCATTATTACCTTATGCGGTCGATGCCTCATGCAGTCGTCCGACGGAACGAATCAACCGATTTGGGACGCAGACGGCGTATATGGGATGGTTGGGGTGTTGCTAAGAGGAGATCCTACGGCAGGCGTTTGTGGCTCTGCCCATTCGACTGCCATCGTCATTACTAGCAATACCATATGCTCTATGGACACTATGGGCGGACTTATATTGTTGCTACATTAGGGCGATGCGTATGAGTCACGGAGGTGAGTTCTCCACATCAGATTTTCATGTGCCCTCGGTTAACTGACGAGAAAGTTTACAGATCGGAGACATGGGATAGTCTATGTAGCCTCCAATATACTATTCTAAGCACCGGGTAGAGATAACCGAGCCACAACCGCGAATGATACGATGCTGCAGCAAATCTTGCAAGACCGGCATGAATACCTTATCATGCCCGAGAGTGTGGCAGGGGCAATCGAGGACAGTACCACAGTTGATTACTCCTGCGAATATACTCGTTCAGCATCGAGCGCAAAAGCGCAGCGAAGAACACCGCGACCCCCCAACCGCCACCCGGGTCATATCAGCCTAACGAAGCTGGGTGCAGTCGCTGCTTCTAACCACGTAAATCCGGACCGGTCATCATCGAATATGGAGGGCGCTGTGGTTGAGGTCATCGACAGGTAAGCCCAAGCGTTTTTGGCGAATGGCCGCGTGCTCTCTATGTAATAACATCATACAACCTTACACATCATAATTAGAGCAATGCGATTGATGTTGGTGCTTTGGACTCGGAATTACAATCCAATCCACGGTGCCATGTATCGAGGAGGCAAGAGAAAAGAAATATATCCGACCTACTGCACGACAATAGCTATCACTACAAACACTCCTCTTGTCCCTATTACTACATTACCATCCCACTTTGCAATGCTCACTAAGTCGCCATAGAATGTGGGTTATGGTCGGGGCTAACAATAGTCGAATTCAGCAAGACATCCCAACACAACAGCGAGGACCCCTAGGCCCCCACTCCGCTGCTAAGGCTAATTACCACACATCAAACAGCCATTCTGCATCCCCATCCACATCCCCGCCAGCATGTACATCGGCGCCCACACTCTTCCTTCTCCACACGCCCACGCATCCCTCCTCATTGGCGCGAAACGCCACTTCCCCATGCGCACGCACATGCACTTCCCACCTCCTCTTCTCTTGCTTCATCTCCTCCGTCGCATTACGTAGCTGATTCTGCTCCCACCAACCTACATCCCACTCCCAGCGCGGGCGGTACAGGACAACGAGCTTACACAACCGCTCTCTTGCAAGCCGAATTGCCTGCTCAAGGATGTGGGACGCTGCCTTGGGTCTCGGTTCTGCTCCCGTTTGCTTTTCCCGCGCAGACGTTATGCTTGTGGCAACACCGTGCCACCAGGTGTAGAAGGTGCAGCTGGGAGTGACAGCAAATGCGGCGGTTTGACGACGCTTGACAATGCTGGCAGTGGCGATGTCGGTGGTGGTAGTGGTAGTGGTAGCAGTAGCATTGGAGCCCGCTATAGTATGGTGTCCTTAGCTGAAGGCCTCGTCCCAAGACTACGGATTGACTGACTGCGTGGTGGACTAAGCTGCGTGTAGGCGTGGCCATTCTCTTTGTTGTCGGCGATCCTAAATGGAAACACGACACCACCAATTCTGGAGATCTCAAAGATGTCGTGCGCACTCAAGCCGATTGGAAACCCGGGGGTTTGTCGGCTGCAGGGTTCTGTCGAGGTTGGCGGCTTGGCTGGGTCAATGACACGCAGGAGGCGACAGGGTTGTTGCACTGGCACCAGTCTCTTCGCGAGAAGGAGGTTGCGGAAACATTGTGTCGAAGATAAGAGACCATGAGCAGCCTGGGTGCAGACGACTCTTTTCCTGTCTTTGGTACTTTAACCACAGCTCCTGTCCGATGTTCGGATACGTACCACAGCATGAGCGCGCAGTTGTCACACTCGCCTTTCCTTTCCCGGAGATACGCCTGGTTATCGAGTGGGTGCCCACTATTGCCTTTTCGTAGTGTTTTCGTGGGACCCACATCCACATGCACGACGCTGTGTTTCTCGCGCTGGGGCTCCGACGGACCTTGACGAAGATCTTCTCGAAGGTCGATCGACGCAGGCCGTCCACGGAGAACCGAAGCCGCACGCGCGACTTAGCAGCGGCATCGATGGGTGCGGCGCACCAGAGAGGAAGGTGCAGAGGAGCAGTCGAGGTGACAACAGGCTAGGAGAGGTTGATGTTCTTCATGATGATCTGTTCCTCCCCGTGGACTGCTCAAAGTGTTGATGGAGATCGCTTAGAAAGCCGGCCTTCATGGAAGAGACCCGGAGAGTGGCATGACAGGCATGCATTCTGGAATGCCCATTGCAAAAGTTGTAGAATTTTCGTGGTGTTTCGTGCGCAACGTGGCTGCCGGGCTGGAATATTTTCCGATGCTTAGACGGGCGCTAGTTTCGGGACTCCATGCTTGCCCGTGTGTGGAAGTCAAACCGTTCATAATACGATTCTGTACTCCCTCTGACCTCCTCAGGAGCATGACCAACGTGTTCGGGACAATCGAGCGTGAGTTGGAGAGGTTGATATCCTCGTCCAGCGCAGCCGAGGACAGCGTCCGCGCGGTGGATGTCTTGTCGCCTATTTCCGCACAATAGCGGTGCGTTGCAGGCCGGAGTAGTCGTGCGGGCTGTGATGCCACAACGATCGTGCAGTGTGGGATCTCAGGAGCTCGGCTCTCTGAACCGCGGACGACAATCGCGCGACCTTATACCATGTTAAAGTGGGGATGTCGGCGCGAGCTTGCCCTCGAAGATGGGGGATGAAGCCCTAGCGGAGTTCGGGATTAGGCTGTGGACACGTTCGCTATCGTAAGGAAAGGGCTAATGCTTGAGCTGACTCCATTGATAAGGGTTTTGCTCAGGACTTCGGAAGGAGTAGCGCCGCGGACTGGTCATTAGGAATCAGGTATGAAGCGAGCCGCATTCATGAGCCATTGGGTTGGAGTGTCGTATATCTGACGGCGCTGTTATCGTGAGCAAGTCCTCGCATGGCCAGTGGAACTGACATACCGTTGTTGTAGCCATCGTCAAAACAGCCCGTGTTACTTGCGTAGCTCCGGCCCGCGTCACGATGCCCGCAATACTGCTCAGACGTTGGCATCCCACCGGCACAGCCTCCTCACCCCCTCGCGAGCATCCACCAGCCTCCAGACATTCGAAGAGTGCCAGTAGATCGAAAAAACCACCCGACTGGCCCCCCACACGAAATGTGCAGCGCACCAGCACCGCACTACAGCACTCCACTATGCCGACGCGCACAAGAACCTAAGCCAGCTTTGCCTCGTTCTCCACGTCCATACTATTGTGCGCTCGGATATACTTCTCCTCCCGGGGACCAGTGCTCTCTTGTGTGCTTCTCGGACCGTGCGCTTACAAGCGGTTATACACACCGAGCGCCTTGCGAGACTGTTTCGGGTGTACAGCGTCAACGCATTCGACCGAGGTATGGAGGATGTAGGGCGCGATGGGACGAGGTGAGGCGCGAAACAGACATTGGTGGCAGACAGGTTAGTCTAGTGGAGATGTCTGCTCGAGAGCTTGATGCCGCGTGAGCTACCCTGAGGCCCAGAGCGCGATCGCAGTGAAGCATTCGTCCCTAACGCTGTTAGCTATGCGGCCGATGTGCTTGAGGTGCCCGACGGTTCTAGCGTTAGCCATCGGGTGAGGAGAAGGGCACACCAGTTACGCGACGGCGTGCTCACAGGATAGGCGGGCGCCGACCGCGTAGAAATAAGCTCGCGAGGAATGGCGATACCGTCGGCAGTGAGGCGTCCATCTGTCGTGTCGTGACGAGGCGAGGTGCGGAACCGGCGGGCAGAGCCCTCGGGCTGTGATGGAGGATGCAGGCAGAGGGAGTGGGTGTGAACTAAGAAAGACAACGAAACTTGGGGGCACCATTCCCATGCGTCTTCTCATCCAGGGGCTGTACGTTGGTCTTGGTCGGATCAATATGCGTAGATGCGGGGAAGAGCAGGTCACGTGCTAAACATCCCCGAACGACCTCGGGAGGTCTAACTATAATCCGCTTAGTGCCAAACCAAGACAGAGAACCAACTGTACCTGCGCCATTCTCATGAGCGTTCTCATTCATGGGCTGTACATCAAAAGAGCATAATGCGTCGGATGCGAAGTTGCATAGATCTCGGGACGAAGCCCCATATCGGGCACCCGCAAACGGTCGCGCTAGAAAAGTATGCACACCCTTTTCCTCCGCAGAACCTGAGAAGATGTTACCGGATATATAAGGCGTCATAACTGAAAGAGCAGAAGGATTGGATCCTTTTGCTCCGGATAGAAGACTACCTGAGAAGACTACCTGCGGAGGAATACCGCTCTCCCATGGCCTGCAGTTCTATACACACCCATCACTCGGCCTACGCCCTCGCCTTCTTCCTTACTGGAGACCCTTCATTGGCTTCATCAACGGCAAAGCTCTCATGCGCCCCTCGTTTGGCACTGTTCCTTGACCCACAAATCTTCAAACGCTTTGCCTGCTGGTGTTGCTCGGAATTGATAGCCTGCCGTTTCCGGCAGTTCGTCACTGCGTTTGCATCCCGACGGCGTACCTTGTCGAGGAGTATGCTGACTGAGGGAGAGGCCATATCCAGCACCGATCGATCACCGTCGGGACTTCGAGAAACCTTTCCGCGCTTGGTGAGCTGGCTTCGCTGCTTGATCCGCATGTATCAGCTTTTGCAAGCCCATTTCGGGATACATAGGGGGGCACGCGAACCTGCTTATCCTCCGTCTGGGTCTCCTTTCTGAGCGGGGAGTGCTCTTGAGCAGCACGCCTGCCGAAGATCCAGAGGCGTAGCGCGAAATCTTGCGCTTGCGATGCGAGGCGCTGGAATTCTCGCTCATCGGCTCGAGCCGTTCGTGGGTTTGCCCATAGGTGCGCGAGAGTGTTATTGGCCATGGTTCTGGGAGAGGGACGATGTGGAACGTTGTCGAAGGAGCAGTGGATGCCTTTTACGTCATGAGGGAGGGCCTGTGCGCGAGCGGTTGTGCAGAGCGAGATGAATGTTTCACTCAGTCGGCAGGGACAGACTTCCTCTTGCCACTGGTGCTGCGAAACGGTGGTATGGAGCTCTCTTTATACGCTCCTGCAAAAGAGCACGTGCTGATTATTACGTGGGCTAGTTCTCCTAGGAATTCCCTTTCGCAAAGCAAGGCCGACGTTGCCATTGGACCCCTTCTCTTCCTCCCGGGCTAAATTTTTTCGGTACTAGATCTTCCGACGTGTATTGAAGACGCGGAGTAACCTGATCTTTCAATGGATTGCACGACAGGTTACAGACGAGAATCGCCACCGGATACCGGTAGAAAGCGCTCATGAGGTATAAGTAGATTGTTGATAGCAATAAAGGTGGAAAGGCGATACGACAGGAAATTGTCCAGTGAAGCAGCGAATGGTACCACTTGGGCTCCAGTAAATTCATAGTAAGTGCAATGGGGGCCAAATGCTAATGATGAAGTCCAGAGTGACACCGGAGCCGCGGTGGCTTGAGGCCAGAGAAGTGTCTGCGGGAAGGTACGGTATCCCCGGTTTCCTCGGCTGCCGACTTATATGAAGCAGGACGACATTAAACAGAGATATTCACATTCTGAGTTTGTGCCGTCGAGATTCTTGCTACACTAAACGTCATTCGCATCCCACACGTAGCATATCCCATCCAGTTCTCATATGTCATGTGCCGCCGTTTCAGTAGTAATCCCAACATGCCGTTGCTGCCTAAACAAATTACCTTGCCGGGAAGAAGAAGAGGAAGCATTCCTCTTTAGCCTCGCCGATAACCACGAAGATATACATAGCCACAGCTTATCCCGATTATGTGGAAAGAGTTTGCTCAGAGCCCGAATTTATCGATCCTGCGAACGGACCTGCTGCGTTCCGCCAACAGAGTACATTAGTAATGGTCGCTAAAGTCAACGAGTAGAAAGCTCAGTAAAAGTCGAAGCCGAAGCCGAAGCCGAAGCCGAAGCCAAAGCTCTGGAGCTTATCGTAGTTAACAGGCGCGGAATCTGGCGAGCATCTAGGCTTGGCTACACCGTTTCGCAGCAGGGACGTCGGCGAGTGGCTGTGGCCGAGTATGCTTCCTCTTCTTCGCCGGAAGCGACGGGAGCTTGGGAATGAGGGGCCTTCGCTGCTATGAACCAACACCCACACCCCATCGCACCCGCCGGCAAGGATTTTGAGTGAGCACGGCTTCGCCGGTGCCATGCAACACCCCGCTCCACCATCGCACCCGCCGGCGAGGACCTTGAGTGAGTGCGTGTTGGCCGGCGACAACTAACACTCCCCCTCCATCCACCACATCGTCTATTGACCGCTACATAAGAGTCACCTTCGCCGGAGGAAACCCTTCTGAGTCTGCCATCCCCGCCAACCATCTGCCAACGTTGTGAGAACTGGACCTTAGACATTGGTAACACATTTTCGTCCGTCCATGGCGCCACGCCAATCCACCCGGATGATCTCGGGATGAAGTGAGCGACTGTGATGCTGGGTGGTATAGCCAATGGATATAGCCCTGACGTGAGATCCATGGGGAAGTAGAGTTTGGGAGGATATCGATGTATCAAGGCGAACGATTAGAGTGTCCTTTAGGTTGTCAGGATTGAAGCAAAACATATCGGGGAAACCGACTGGTGGGAAGTTCATGTATTCTTGATGGATGTCCAGTTTGGGAAAGCCTAGCTGGCCTTGCATGTTTATTGAGGGGGAGGCAATGACTTAAATTGGGGACGGGGCCTCCGCACGTCCGCTTTCACCCGTGCGGATTAACGAAACAAACAGGATTGTCTGACAATTGTACAGTGATCTTCAACGCGAGGCGCGCGGTCCGGGCGCTTTGTTGAACGTGGTGTGCACGCGGCGGATCTCTCATCGATCGTCCGGGTGGTATTCCTACACGCGTCCAGGTTCAGACCTAAAGTTCGGCGATGATATTCCGAGGAGCGTCGAATAGCACTGTCAATCTAGGTAGGCCGTCTCGCTAGCTAGGTTCGAAAATGGTGATGTCGAGCTCCGTTTCACAAGGAGGGAATTGGATTACAGACGACCAATAGTGCGGATGCTACGATTTCGACGAATAACTCGTCTCGTTCGTCGACGGCGTAATCTGCAGAGTTGACGGAGGCCCATCTCCAACCATGCGATGCATGCAACGTCGGCCGAAAACCCTTTTTCCCCTCCCCGCATCACGCGAGTACTAATACTCATGCAGCGACCCGCTCCCTGGTCCTTTCGTGCTCATGAAGTCCCGCCTCCATAACACTATTGCTGCGCTGTGAGCTTCCATCGTCTTCGCTCTGAAGCGGCAGCAAAGCCTTCCACACACAGATCGTCGTCTCGGTGCCCTTTGCTAACGAAAAGAGCCTCCTTAGAACTACGTCAGGAGAATCGTATCACTCCCATCTGGAGTTGGTAATCCTGTCGAGTACGTTGCTGACTTGGTGTCAATAGTGACAGCTTCAGATGATTTTTAACTCGATCTATCTATGCACGACGGTAGATGCGCGTTCGGTAAAAATCTGGGATCTTTCGTGCACAGATTTGGGGCTGGTGCGCGAATTTGAGGGGAAGTTGAACTGCTGAAGTAGTTCGTCATGATGACAAGCCACGAACGGAATAATGCCGATGAACGCTGATTGCGGGCGGAGCGTGTGTCAGACGTGTTCCCGATGACGAGCCGTTATCGGTGGTGATATCTTCTGTAGTCGATGATGGATTAAAGTGCATTGGGCATAGATACTGAGAAGGAAGTCAGCCGTCACAGGTATCTCTAGGGGGGAAGTAGAGAAGCGAGAGGATGTGCCGTTATCTTCATCACCATTAAGGAGTCATGGACATTTCCTAAGTATGAGACGTTATATTTCCTGACGATTGATAAAACGCACCGCGCGCACTTACATTTACGCCGATTCGCTACGACATCGCCATAGGCCTGTGGGCCTAATTTGTTATGCACTTCGACACGTATTCTTACGGAGGGAGTAGAGAGGTTAAACGGGCTATGACGTTAGAGGGGTAGGGTATTGAAGGTTGTGTAGGACGATGCACAAAGCCGCCGTAACACTCACGATGCCGTTACTTCGCGATTGCTCATTGAATAAGTCCCTTATTCGAGGCGATAGGTATGCAGTCCCATGCGACACCGAGGAAATAAATTAGTGCAAAGAGGTGGATTGTGTCACACTTAGGACTAGGTAGCTAGTTGCAGTTAGACGCCATCCCATAGATCGAAATTGCTCACGAACACCCATTCACGAGTCTTAATTGGGCCCATCTGGCGTAGTGAGTACCTGTCCGGCTAGCCGAAAAATCAAATGCCTCACGTCCAAGGAAGCACGTCGTCGTGCCGCGCTGCGATTTGTGCGCAGCAGCATCTTGTATCCCACTAGGGTTGCGCGCTTCCAGATTTCGCCGCCTTTTACATGGAGTCGTCCAGAATGCCACACCCCGAATTTCATAGCCAGAGGATAGCCCGAGTGGATTGGAGATCAGAAATGCAAAATATACGCCTTTCTGGTGCCGAACGGCCTGTCTCTCCGTTCACCGAGCCTTTCCTTAATCCAGATCAATCCACTGCGTGCTCCCAGTACCACAGGCAGCTTCTTACTCGCATCTTCTTATAAGGGACAATCGGCAGGGCCCTCAACACCAGCGCCGCAAAAGGCGACGCAAACGACGAGGTCACCGACGCGGGGTATCGCACCTTGGACGATTAGGATTCCGCGGTGATCAACGCTGAGAAGGTTAAAAAGAATGGCTGAAGCTTGGATGGGGGTCAGGGGTTAGCTGTTCTACTGGGCTCCACGATTCCGTGGAGTTGTTTAGCAATAGCGCGTTGAAGAAAATCCGATGTTTGCGTACCTCGTTTGGGCGACCTCTACATCTGCACAAGAATGATGACAGACTTGACAACGTAGTCAACGAAGCGGACTTGGCGGAGATAGTCTCGCTCCGGATGCTGCTTGCTTGAATCTGGGAGACTCTACCGGTCCGGAAGCTCTGAACAAGCTGTCTTGCTTGCGATCTGCTATACTAGACTTGATCGTTGCTGTACACATGGCCTAAATGATGGGACCAACAGCTACCAGACCCTTCTTCCTTATGAGGTGTAGGTACCTAGGTGTGGTGGGGTCAGAAAGTTATATAGACGTTGGCTCTGAGTGCAAGTTAGTATTGCTCGCAAACCTCCCGCCTTTCAAAGCTTCGCACAGCTTTGAGGCGTGAGATTCCTTCGACGTCCAAGCGACGCGCTTCCCCTACTCTAAGACTTCGATGTACTCCAGCTTGGATGGGATGTCTCAGTTCCGATATCGCGTGGTAAGTGCTGGGTCCTATCAAACTCAGTGTCGCTGAATGGCTGACTGTCTAGGCTATAAATACAAGATAGAGGCGTAGAAGAGCGCGTAGTACGTCAATCTGGCGGTATTTGTCCTTGGGATATCGGAAATCCGTTGGGGCATAGCGTTCGGCCTCTTGAAGGCATTCGGCAGCAGCATCAGGGATGAAGCGACGCAGAACGCTGTTTAAAGCGAGGAATAAAGGGCATCGGCGTGCTGTCGATGGCCAGTTCTGATGACCGCAGTGAAGGTACATAGCCGACGAGCAAGCAGCACTTCACCTTCACCAAAGGTACGGCTGTAAGTGGTGAGATCGTGCCGCTGTCTACTGGCGTAGAGCCTAAGAGCGCGACGCAGGCGCGCGAAAGCTTTTGCATGGGATTCGGAGTATCCTTGGATCTGGATGAGACACAGACACACCTAAATCAGGCTCACTGTGGCGTTGGATCCACCCATTAGATCCCCAACTCGACTTCGTAAACCACCACCATACCCTTCTCCTTCCGGCCGTGAAGAGAAAGGTTCGTGAGCTTCTGATCCACGGCTGCTGTTTTGCTTGGTGCTGAGCTGACGGATATGGGTGGCAACAGGGTTCTTACGCGGATCAGTGCGGCGCGTGTTGCCCCACATCTTTGAGGGTTTGAGGTAGTAAGATGGCATTGCGGAGGGTCTGAGAGTCATCTGGAGATGGAGATGGCAATGGCGGTATCGGGGTTTCGTGCAGCGGTGCGCAGCCGAGTCTTTAAGCAGTCTATTTGAACTGCGCGTCGGTGTTGTCACCGTCCAGCGCTCAGATGGAGACCACTCAATATCCGTGTTCATTGCTTCAGCACCAGAGTATCTACGCCTTTGTCCGTACTGCTGGCTGTACCCAAGGTATCAACGTTGAGCTGCGCGGTTCTCTTTTCCAACTCATCCGCCGTAATCCGGTCCTCGGCATGTCGTTCGAGCATCCTCCTTACAACATCCCAGGACTCCGGAATCTCGACGGCCAGCAGTCTTTTCACCCACTTTCGCATCTTCTCCTTACCGACTTGTCCTTGAGCCCTGCTATCGGCCAACTACCTCCTGTGGGCAACGGGACCAGGCCCAAGACGAACAACATAGTGACGCCGAAAGCCCATATATCCGCTGGGTATCCACGCTGTCTGCTGATTTCAAACTCTGGAAGATCATGGTTGGATCTCTCTCCAGATGGTAGTGGTGGTGGTGGTGGTGGTGGTGGTGGGGCGCCGCCTGACGGAAGAAGCCGCCCGGAACTTCATCCACGCCAGCACACCCACGACGCGCACCTCCATCACGCTCCATCAAGCTTCATCTCAGGATGGCACGCGCAATGCTTCTGAACCCTTCTCCGGCGCTCCCACCCACTCCTGCCGCGTCTCGGTCGCCGTCGCAGTCTTCGCAGCCCCCTTCTCACGAGACCCGCCCCGCAAACCTCAAGCAGGCCGCCGGTACCCAGCCCGCCGTGCCCTTCGCCGATATCTGCACGCTTTCTCAAGAGCGCCTCTCCGAGTTGCAGTTGCACTACAACCGCCGTTCGATCCCGCTTATACCGGAGGACGAATTCGCGAAGCTGGTCGCAGAGGAAGTGGACAACGCAGTGCGAGCCGGCGGGGACGTCGATGTGGAGGCACGGGTTGGAAGGCGACTACGAGAAGATGTTCGACGCGCAGAGCGAGAGCTCGAGAGGGTGAAAATGGATATGTAGCTTGCTGAGGAAGATGAAGTGGGCGTGTCTAATATCAATGCTCTTTCCGCAAAGTCTCCCAATGTGCGTAGGCTTTGCGCTCCCACCAAAGTCGGCCAGTGACCTGCCAATACCTTCCACTGCTCAACCCTTTCACAATCACCATAGCATTCACGTTCGTCCGCACGCACATTCCCAAATACACACCGCCATTCGCACATCTTCAAAATGGTGATGTCTCTTCTCGCTAGCCGCCGCAAAGCATCAAAAACGAAGACTCCCAGCAAGATGGCGACCTCCAACAAGACCGCCACCAGCGTGACCAAGAAGAAGGATAAGAAGACGACGAAGGGCCTATTTGCATCGGTCTGGAAATGGCTCGCCGGAAAGAGTACGTCTGATGCGGTGCTGATTGCAGCGGCTTACCGAGTTATTCCCTCGAGATGTGCGTGCCAGCCGGACTGACATCATGCGGTACTGTAGAAGATGGTACGAGCGAGGATGGATTTGTCGAGGTCTCGCGGGCTGAAGTAGAGGCGGTAGTAGAAGACGAGGAGGCCGAGGGCGATGATTTGGGTGGATGCCGGCGGCGGGGCTAGGCGGTGGAGTTTGGTTTGGTGGACTCCCGACTCCGACGTGGAACTTGCTTGCGGGAACCCTTATTAATGGGGTGAAAATGGGCTACTCCTTTGCTTGCTGTGAGTGTTCTCGTCGACTTGACTGGGTTATGGCTGAAGCCGACTGCGTGGTAGTCTTGTGCTCGGAGATTTGCTCCATGCGTGGTCTGGTATTCGAGGTCTGGTATTCGACGATTGAGTGCGTTCCATAGGCGAGACCCCGAGTTCGACATCACAATGAGCCACAGCTCCAGGGCGCATTTTGGGTAGAAGACGAACGGAATATTCCAACACCAAGATATGAGCCTATGCTGGGCGTTGGAGGTACGAGCTAGGACAAAGCTGAGTGAGCTCGATGTAACTCTTCGGCGCTGCTGTTGCTTTGGCTGGTTGGTCGATCTTCTGCTCGATACGCTCGAGGCGTCGTGTGATCTCTTCGAGTTCTGGGCTCGAGGGAGCTGCTGTCGGCTAATGAAGCTGCCAAGCCCTACCTTGTGCGGAGATTTTAACGCAGACACCGTCGCTCTCTTGGACACATTCATCGACATGGCCGAGCTACCCCTCCCTTACTTCGCGCCTCCCAAAGACCTACCTCGTTGTCTTCCAAACACTGCAGAAATAGAGCTCTCTGAGGTTATCTCTAAGTCAAGCGGCCGCAAAGTGGTCCGGGTTGATTCTCACTATGTGGTCAAGTTTGGACCCGCCGTCGATCTACTTGAGGGCCGTAATATACTCTTCGTCCGCCAGCACACGAGTATTGCGATTCCTCGAGTCTATGCGATATATTCTGTGCCAAACGCGGACTCGAAAGCCATAAACTACATTGTCATGGAGAATGTGGCCGGAGATACTCTTGCCTCTTGGTGGCCAGCTCTATGCATGTCGCAAAAGGAAGTCATCTCTGCGAAGCTCAACGTTTTTTGCAGTCAGCTGCGTAGCTTGCCATCTCCAGGCTATTTCGGAAGCCTTGAAAGACGGCCCCTCCTAGACCCTATACTCTGGACGGATGACTCGACTTGCTCTGGACCATTCGAATCGGAAGCTGCCCTTAACGAAGCAATGGTACGGAAATACATCTACAACGGCCTTCCGACCCACAAGGGGACCTTCTACCGCACGGCTTTTCCTGCTGTGTTTTCTGGTCACCCGCCTGTCTTCACACATGGTGATCTGCAAAGGAAGAATATTTTGATTAAAAAGACTATTGGTTCCGGTTCCGGTTCTGTCGATGACTTTACTGTAGTCATCGTAGATTGGGAATTTTCTGGATGGTATCCAAGCTATTGGGAATTTGCAACCGCCATGTCCGCTGTGGGTCGGTGGGATGATGATTGGCACGAGTGGGTGAGAGAAATATTATCAGACTGGTACCTCAACGAATACGCGTGGATACAGATGTTACGTCAAGAGCTTTGGTCTTAAGAGATTCTAAGGAGGGTGGAGTTTTAATGCAATTATGGCAACATTTCAGACTTTAGCGGACTAGCTGTGAGTGGGAAGCTTACCGGCAGTATGATGTATATAATGATAATTGTGATATTATCCCTACTTCGACAGCGACTGCAACGCTGTCCCCTTCGCCGCCCCCAACCCAAGCCTCCACGAAAGCATGCGCCTGCTGAACGGTTCCTTCAACGTCCCGCCCGTGTCTACGCTGCAGGTGGCGATTCGAAGCCAGCGCACACCTTGCTCGCAACACCCTATGTTGTGGACGATGATCCCGACGCGTCTCGGCTACCGCTATGTTTAGAATCTAAACAGGAACCAACAGTTTAACACCAGCTGGGGGACAAAATGGGAAACAGAAACGTGCTGACAAGTAGGAACTCGCCGTTGTGATCGAAGGCCTGGAATCGGGCACCTCGACTGGAAACGCAGACTTCGGTCAAGCCTGAACCTCCTCAAGTCCCTCAAGAAGAGCCCACAACCCGTGTGGGGGGTTCGCCCATGAAGTACGTTAGAGGCCTTCTTTATTAGAGGCAAAGCCAGCAATATTAGAAGCCCCCATGCTAGCATTGTACGTCTGTGCGCAATGACGCAGCCGCGGCATTCCCGACGCCCTAGCCACTTTCGGCGCCTCTCAAATTTCTCCCGACTCTTCGAGAGCAGCAACACTTTTTCTATTCCGGGACTGCATGGCCCCTCTCAACAACTGCCAGTCAGACTCCAGCCTGCGTAGTGACGACAATCCATAGACGACATCGATGACCCTCGACCACGCACCGGAGCCTCGAAGCATTCGAGAAAGCAGCCCTCGGTTCCGGCACACGCTGCTTCCACAATCGCGCGAGACGGGCGAAGTTGTCCCCACTGAGCCGCCCGATGGTGCTCCGGTAGCAGCGAAGGGCGCGCCCTTTGCGAAGTCATGGGCGCATTTCATTGCCGGGGGGTGAGTTAGACGCTGTATTTGATGCTCGAGGTGCTCACCAGAGACAGACTCGGCGGCATGGCTGCCGCGACGCTCACGGCACCGCTAGACGTGCTCAAGACCCGTCTCCAGTCGACCTACTACCAGCAACATCTCGCCGCTGCCCGCGCCGCCCGTGGCCTGCCCCCCATCGAAACCATGTCCCTCATGCGCAGCTCCTTACTCCATGTCCGCGAGACTGGCGAGATACTATGGCAGGTCCCCAAGGCGGAGGGATGGAGAGCACTCTTCAAGGGTCTTGGGCCGAACCTGATTGGCGTCGTTCCCGCCCGAGCAATCAACTTCTACACATACGGGAACGGTAAACGGATAATCAGCACGTACTTCAACAACGGGCAAGAAGCCGCCTGGGTGCATTTGTGCGCCGCTGCCTGCGCCGGCGTCGTCACGGGCACCGCGACAAATCCCATTTGGCTAGTCAAGACGCGATTACAGCTGGACAAGAACACCCATGCGGATGGGCGCGGACGGCAGTACAAGAACGCATTCGACTGTACGATGCAGACGCTGCGGAAGGAAGGCGTACCGGGGCTGTACCGGGGCTTGACTGCGAGCTACCTCGGGGTAACGGAGAGCACGCTTCAGTGGATGTTGTACGAGCAAATGAAGATATATCTGGCGCAGCGGGAACGGCGGGTTGCGAACAGCGGGCGTTCGCCTACCGCATGGGACCAGACTGTTGCATGGACGGGCAAAGTCTCTGCAGCCGGAGCGGCCAAGTTCGTCGCTGCCTTGGTCACGTATCCACACGAGGTATGCTTGCCTGCCCACAATCATGGTTATGTACCTCCAAGCCACTTACTAACAGTGCCAGGTTGTTCGCACTCGACTACGGCAAGCCCCGTTGGAGAACGGCCATCTCAAATACACCGGATTGGTCCAATGCTTCCGTCTGATATGGAAAGAAGAAGGCATGGCGGCATTGTACGGCGGGCTGGTTCCACATATGTTCCGCGTCGTTCCAAGCGCGGCGATTATGTTCGGCACATATGAGGGCGTGCTGAAGCTGCTAGGGACCAGCAGCAATGTCTAATCGTCAAGGTCGTCAGTGGCTCTGTGTACTATTACTGTGTTGCATTCACACGGCGTTGTTGCGGGTTGTACGGCTCTATGGAATAGTTGTTTTCGCCCCCGGCAATACCCATCTCTTTCGACTATGTATATTATAGAATGTTCCTGCTTGGGACCGGGTGAGCACACCGGGCTAGGGAGGCATATAGACCGGAGTATCCAATTCTAAAGTTTGAATGAAACAGGCTCGCATACCTAGATATCCGTGATCACCGTGAACAGATCCACCGATTCGGCTGTCAAAATCCCTTCTAAGGTTCGTTCCGAGGTTGCTTGCGGGTCACGTGATATCGTAAAAGTTCTTGGAAGTCGGGACTTCTGAGCCGGGGCACAAACGCAACTTCCTACTTCCCTCCCCCACAACGGCGATGTCGACACCTCTACCCATCCGTATATATCGGCCATTGCATCGGCAATGTGCACGCCAAAGGCCGTTCAGCCGCAAATTCTCCGCGACGAGCGTGCGGCCGGCTCGAGGCGTGACACCGAAGAGCAAGCGCGTGGATCCGGTGCTGAGCCAAGTGGGAATGGAGCACGTACCAGGAAAGTCCTTGCAATCGCTGCAAGAGGAACAGCTCGGTGACGAGCACAATCTGCCTGATGACATCGGCTTGCTTCCTGGTATGTCTTGGAATGCAGCGGGCTGGGATAAGACGTCCTCGAGGATGTCGAGGACCATGCGTTAACATTGGGGCTCAGGAACCCTCGTCCGCGCGCCGCATTCAAAATTTATCGGTTTCTTGTCCTTGAAAGACCTCTGGTACGAATGGAAGTGGTTGTCGTCGAAGATAGCATCGGCCGTCGCGTATGCTCGCTCATTGTTCACAATAACACACGCTCAACGGAGATATGGCTGACCTGGCATAGACTGTTCCGCTTCAAGAGGTCGATATCGACGAATCCGAAAATCTTTTGGGGGTGGTGGCAGCATAAATATTTGGAAAACACGGCCGAGGAAAAGTACAAGCATCTTTATCGGTCGTTTGCAAAGTGCGTATATCCAGAACTTCGAGCTGCCCCTTTCGCCACTAGAATGAGTGTCGCTGAGACTGCGCAGGGGCGACGCCGAGGCCATCTCCGAAATGTGCCTCTCCGGCGTGGCCAAGCAATTCCACGACCGCCTCGCCGCCCGTCCTCGAGACCTAAAGATGGACTGGACTGCTGATGAGCTCAACGCCCGCGTAGTTTCGAACCGTGCGCAACCGCTCTCTCTCTCTAGTTACGAGAACGCTGGCATCCACCAGATCGTTTTTCGTGTCAAGAGCAAACAGACACTCAAGATAACCGGGAAGCTCGGGGGCAGCCGGAATCGCATTGCACCATACACCCCAAGGAGCGGAGACGTAGTGGAGTATCTTGTTTTGCAGAGGCAATTCATCAATGGCCAGGCAAAACACCAGGACTGGATGGTATGGGGGTTTGCAAACGAGTCAACGCTGGCGCAGATCAAGGAAGACGAAGAATACGAAAGGAGAGTGAACGCTTTCAATGCCGGACATGCAGGAAACTAAATAAAGGGCAGCAACACGAGAAAGCAGTTCTTAAGGATGGTATTGTACGATTCGGTCTTATGATTGGCCTGTGTAAACCAGCTTGTATGAATTCTTAGCAGTTCGTTCTCCGGGCTAATTGACGTCGGCGGAGGCGCATCAGCTGAATAACGCCGAAGCAAATAGCCAATAGCCGCGCTACTGCGCTGAGTGACGATTCCGCTTTCCGCTGGCACTTTGATCACCATTACAAGACGAGAGTCTGAAAGTATCCGAACTACTTAGGAAGGGGGCACTGCGGGTGGTGCCTCTGTACCCGAACCAGCCCCGCCGCGATTGGGGGGCGGGGGGAGGAATAATGGTATATATCCCTTCGCAAGGTAGGAGTTAGCCTGAGGCTCAGGGTAGTGTGTAGTGAAGAGTGAGAATCTCACCACGAGCAGCGACATGACTGCGCTCGGTCAGCTAACATCTAAACTTCCCCGGGCGAGAACACTCACAAGCCATGCCGACGGAGAAGTACGCGGGCGTGGTAGACGTGCGCTTCTGCTCCGGGCTCTCGGCGAGCCACGATTGCAAAGCGAAGACTACAGCAACCCTGGGGCTATTCAGCGATGGCAGCGTCACGAAGCGCAGGCAACATACCAGCCAACCATCCTATGGTGAAGTTATGGGGTCAGAGATGCCGGACTGGCTTATGAGGACGGGTTCGATGGGGTCTTACTTATTCCGCGTGAAGATCTGTGGGACAAGGTTAGCAATGCAACAGTCTTGACAAGAGCTAGAACTGGACCTACGGCAGCCATCGGCAGCGTGCTGGCCATCGTGCCTAGGTGCGGCTCATCAGCAGGGCGTGCCGCGGAGACCAGGGGTCCACATACTCGCCATATCGCCCTCCGACTTGTCCTTTGCTGGCTCGGCGTAGGGGACGACTGTCCATGTTAGGGCACGTGACAATCAAGGAGACTCCAGGGCTGTGGAGGAGGCGGCACGTACTGAGGTCGGCGCGCCGCATGTCCTTCTTCGACGCCATTGGGGCTTTCTGAGGGGGCGGGGAGGGCAAGGATTGATGTCGCTGCGCTTTCAAAGGGTGGTCTGCGGAGATGGCGATGATGGTGTGAGATGAGGTTGGAGTGGTCGGGGCGGGCGCCGAGGACTTGGGAGCGATGGCGCGCCGAAGCGAGCCGAGCACGCCCGCCAATCAGCGCCACTCGCGGCGACAGCGGCGGCAGCGGCGGCAATATGGGCGTCAACCGCGTAGCGCGCCTATAGCTCGCTGCCTCTGCTCCCGCTTCACCTCGGACGGCCGCGCAGCATCCCCAGCACCACTTCCAACCATGTCGTCGCAACGCCCCGCGCCGCCGCCTTCGCTCCAGCAACTCTCAGCCCGCTTCGTCGCGAACGAGAGCGTTCCTGCATTAAGCGCCAGCTGCTCGCGCGTCGGCGGCAACCTTGACCACCAGAGGCCGTCAGGGCTGCTTCGGCACTGCCCTCTAACCGCCCGCAGCACCGCTTGCTGTTTCACGACCTTCCTCAAATGAGGAATCATCACGACCCTGCCGCTGCGTTTCATTTTACACGCCGCGCCGCAACGCCCTGCCTGGTCGCGCCGTGGGTTGGGTCGGTCATCTGGCCTCCGGCGCTCGCTTCGACAGCTGCACGCGCGTAGTTCAATTGCCATGCTGTTGCCGTATACGGGTAGCGTGGTTCGATTAGCGCCCCTTCGGCTCGTTTCGGACTGCCACGCCCCTCACTAGCGCCAAGCCCGGAGCGTCAAACCTTCTCGCCAACTAACCGCTTTCTCCATTCGACTTCGCGCCGACACTCCTGCATCCATCCTTCGATCCCGTCATCATATATCTAGCGCCGCACTGTGCGTTACGCTTCTCTCTCCATACCAATGGCCCCGCAGCCCAATTCTGCTCCCGCCAAAAATAACAGGCGCCAACCCGCAACTAGACCCGCTAGCACTCGAAGTAGCGCGCGACTGCAACACATCCAACCACCTCCCACTCCTCTTGCACTCATTTCTCAGCCGGCCCGCACCAAATGGAAGCGCCCGCAAGAAGACTCTAAAGCCAAAGCCAACGAGCTAAAAGGTGTGCCCCGCAAACTAGCTCTAAAAACTTCCTTCCCCCCAACATGAGTTCTCCGAGGAGAACTTGAAAGAAGACTCTAATACTAAAACCGACGAGCTAGAAGGCGTGCGCCCTTTAGACGAACCCCAAAAACTCTCTCCCCAGCCCAAAAACTCTCTCCCCAGCCCCGGCCTGTCCAACTACCTCCTACCCCTCCTGCACAAAGACGCAGAAGCCTACGCCTCCAAGGTGCCGATCCTATCCAGACAACGCCCGACTCCGTTCAGCAGGCAAAGACGCCAAAGCGAACTCGAGAAGAAGACGAAGTTTCACCCCCCCCCTCCCTTCGCTCGAGCCGTTTCCAAAACGAGTACGAACATCTACAGCTTCAGCCGGCAAACCAGTTAGGTGGAAGACAATCACAGAGGCTCGGGTTGACTACTGGAACGAAAACCGAACCTGGCCGACAGAGGAACAAGAGAACACAATGACCTTGCCTAGCCTGTGCTAGCAAGAAAGAAATCATCAGCTTCCCTCCGCCGCAAGCGTTTAGATGCTAGCATTAACACCAAAACAGTCTCAACGCGAACGCCGAGCGACCAACAACCGCGGGAACAGAAGAGCGCTCTATATAGACATCCACGTTACAAAGGTTAACTTAGTGAACGCGGTAGCTTTATGTGTAGATATGAAGGTGGCATCAGCACTGAAAGCAAAGCGCTTTGCTAAAGGCTTCTAAATTCGCCACAGTCGCCGCCGAAAGATACATTATTTGAAGATGAACTGTTCGAGGATACTTTGGAATTAATTAAAGGTAGAAACGGGACCAGAGTGATCCGCGATATCGCGCAGCTTATTGTTCCTCCTGCCGAAATTTTGGCAATCCGCGGCGCCAAGCACCTGAAGACTCTCAGAGAGACCACTAACGCTAGCTGGAACAACGCTATCCCCTTTTACGGATCACGCCCACAACCGGACTATAGCCTTGGATTCAAGCGAGAAGCTTTTACCCGGGAACGACTACAGAAGCTTCAGCCCTTCATTGGAAATGAATTAGAAGATTGCTCCTATTTTGCGGCCACGTACGACATGTACTTTCCATTCCTTACTAGCGAAGTGAAATGCGCATCCGCGCTTGACATTGCTGATCGGCAGAATGTTCACAGTCAAACCGTTGCATTACGTGGTTTAATAGAGCTTTTCCGGCTTGTGGGTCGGGAGGACGAGCTTTATCAAGAAATTAACGGCTTTTCAATCTCTCATAGCGATGAGTATGTAAGAGTCTGGGGACATTACGCTGTTATTAATGGGAAAGACTTCACGTTCTACCGACATCTAATTGCTAAGTTTAACATTTCAAAGACAGAACAGGGAGATAATCGATGGACGGCATACACTTTTGTCCAGAATATCTACGATTTATGGCTTCCTGAGCGCTTCTCAAGGATCTGTTCCGTTATCGACATGCTCCCCGCCAACTTGAATTTCAAAGTCTCCGAACAACCCGAACTTCAAACTTAGGATCCAGAACTAGCCTCTTCACGCTCAGGATTGTCCCAACAACTTGAAGATTACAGCTTAGCCGATGAAGGGGTAATACCAGACAACCAGCCAAGCGTCAACCCAATCACCCCAGAGGCCACGATCAACACCGGGTCCAGCAACTCCAAGAAGAAAAAGACGAAGTAACTACTTGCACTCACCATTCACGTCGGGCTCGGCTATATCCCTTGCGACAGGCATCAGGTCACACGCCACTCTGCAGCAACTGCGAACCCAGTGTATCTGCAGGAGCAGTGACGGGCATCCGGTGTTTGGGACTAGTTACCATTGTCGGACACAAGCGGCCGTACTCCTGAATCTGCGATTTTCTTCTTTCCAGTTCGAATTCAATGTGTTGTGTTAATACCCTCACTGTCCACAATCGACGAGGAGAAAGAATGAGTGGGTGTAGGGCTTGAGCTTGAGCGTATTGCTTGAACGCGGCTGTCGGTCCACCGCCCGTGTTCTTTGTGCAAGAGATCCTCGTATTGAGAGATGGAGAGAACTGCTCCAAATCAGCCACGCGAATTACAGAGCGCTCGGCGACACGGCGATCCGTCAAGGCACAGCAATTCGGAATCGGCGTTGACGGCGATGAGGCACATCCACAGCGTGGCGCAGCTGGAGCGCGGGCCGGAATTTATCCGGTCCAAGACTTGGATTGGCGATCAAATTGTCGGCACAAAGTTTTGCCGCTACTGTGGTCCTTCGTATCTCCCGACACCACCCTCTGCATGCCAGCTCAGGTTTGCCTGGCCTTAAGAGTTTCATGGTGAACAGTTCTTGCCAGCATTCTCAAACGCAGCAACGGCCTTGGACGCATGAGGGTGTGCTGTAGTTGCATGCCAAGCACCTCGGTGGTTGCCTGACAGCCACGAACATGACGCCAATAAAACGGTTATTGGGCGGCACAGCCAGCTTCACCAGTCTGTCCACCCGGCCTGTTTGACTAGCCGCCAACAATGCTTGTAAGTGCGCATCATTCATTCCAGTATCTTGTTTTCGTTGCCGCCAGGTGGGCGCTTGCATGCTGAATTGAGGCGGTAAATCAATTTCGCAGTTGTGACTCTTTTGGAACCTGGTGGTATAAATGGGGGTACCTTTGTAGCTCGTGCAAAAGCTACAGACACAAGCGATTTTCAATCAAAAATTCAAACGAAAACTTTATCCGTATCTCTACTACCACGAGCACAATGTCAGCCACCAAGATCGTCTCCAGCGCAGCAATCAAGACGATCCAGAAGTCGGGCAAGGATATTGCGCTCAAGTATGCCACCATGACCGAGGCCTGGCAGCGTACCTATCTTGCCACGAGCGAGCAGAACAAGTTCAGTGCCGCCATAGAGAAGACCGATGTCCCGTCCAACACCGCGACTGCCATCCTGGTGTAAGTCTTTCTCCGTTGAGTCGTATCTAAGTGAAAGCTAATTGGGATTATAGCGAGAAGCCGCATGAGAGCCAGAATGACAGTAGGACTCATTTTACCACCGTCTTGCAAGACGACAAGGGCAATCATATCAAGACACAACATATACCTGTTTGAGTTAATGGTTTAGATTGCTGGAGGACAAGGAGATCGATGCGGGGGGAGCTTGCGTCAGTTCGTTGGAAGGATGGAACGATCGAAGTGGGGATCGAGCCCCTGTACATCATTCGCTGTGAGAAAAGGATGGAGAATTGCACGAGAAGTTGGTGAGACGAGAGATATCTAGAACTAGACTCAAACGCCGTCCTTAATTGCGATGTCCGCTCTGAGAACTCCCTCAATGTCCTTCAAGTTCCAGTAGGTATTGGCCATGATGTCCGACATCGATGCCCTTTTCACGGGATCGAGGTTCGTCATCCTTAATATCAGCCTCTTTACCTCGCTGTCGAGGTTGGGAAACGTATCTGACGACCAGCTATCGAACGTTTTGTTGGTCTCGTCCTCTGATATTGCTTGCCACAGGGCTCTTAAGAGCTCCCCCGATTCGGCATCGTTGACGTGTTCCACGAGCGCGTCTGGTAGAGGCCCAAAGGCCGAAAGCAACTTGAATAGAATCACTGACTCTGGTTCAACCTCTAGCGTGGTAAAGTCGGCGTGGAGCCATTCTACGCCCGTGATGACATAGAAGCACTAGCATTTTAATCAGTACGTCCGCTGTAGCATTTTTGAAACTCAACTCACAAGGAGTCCAAATGAAAACACTTCGGAATGCTTGCCCACACCCTTTCCTAGTTGGCCCTCTGGGCTGCGCCACATGACGTTTCCTATCCTGTGATTAAAGAGCTTTCCGTCTTCTAGCTTCAAAGCGACATCCAAATCACCCAATGCTACCTTTTCCAGGTGGAATTGCCCCTGTTTGTCTATGTGCCAATTAACAAAGACATTATCTGGCTTCACATCTGGAAGGATAGGTTAACAATGAGGGCGACAGCAGACAAGGCTTGATGAATGAAATCATACCAAGGTGTATCCAGTTCCTTGCATGCATGTCCTTTAGGCCAAGCCCGACCTTCATAAGAATCGTCTTTCGTACCTCGAGCGGGAGAGGTGGATAATTCCTCACCAACGAAAGCACATCGGTCGTGAAACCCTCGTATACAACCGTATTCTCCTTGTCGTTGTAGTCGACGTGGGTTCGCAGGTAAGGGTTATCGCCAAACTCTTTGTTGAACTCGAGTAAGTGACTAAAGATGGACGGCGAGACGGGTTTTAGGACGAAGAATTGGTTGTCCGAGCTAGTAGTTTTTCACTCTTAGCTATTGTTTCTAATAAGAACTAAGGAATAACGATTGGCAAACTCACGTTGCGAGGTAAATATCCAGCTCGGACTTTTTAGGATGGGAATGCAGTACTTGGACTCGTTTGTACTCGCGACCAGAATTGCCAATAAGTGTTGACTGCATCCTCGCAGCTATGCGTCGACTAGCCCGACAGCTCACTCGGAGCCGCCAAATATCTGCACAGCGCCTTAGGATTACAGTATTGGTCGAGTTGGCGAACGAGACCTGAGATGCGACGCGGGCGACGCGGGCGTAAACGAGAGTGGAAGCACGTCGACGCTGATCTAGGTGGGATGCGAGTGGAAGCCGAGCGTAAAATAAGTCAGAAAATGTCCGAAAATGTCGCATTTATCGGGTGGCGGCAGAGCAACGCTCAAAAGATTCGAAAATTGTAGGCAGGTGGACGACGTGTGGGGTTGAGCGCAACGTTTGAGAGGCAGGGAGTTGATAGCGAGACCACCTGACTAAGCTGTTGGTTCCTGGTGCCGCGATTGGCTGGGCGGCCCTCGAGGCGCTTAGACCAGTGATCTCGGCGAAACTTCAGGCAGCGACGGTGGAGGTGATACACATACCCGACTCAGCGTAGAAATCTTGTCGTAGGCGAAAAGCTGCTGGTTGTAGTAATATCCCCATGCCGAGCAATTCGCAGTCCCGCCCCCGGGGATATCGTGCCAGGCGATCTTGTGCTCCTCGTCGAGATACGGAGTTGGAAGCGTCGTGATTTCCACTTCCCTGCTTAGCGCTGGCAAACTTGTTCGCGCTAGACTCAACTAAATTTCGCACCTCAAAGCGGCGGCAAAAATATGAGGCGGGGATCTCGGCTGAACATATCTCCGCAGCCTGGCCACGTGTGAAACGCCGCTCGGACTTTGGCGACCGCAGCTTCAGCGCCCGCGTATTCTCTGTCCTCGATTTCTCAGAGCCATCTTCCTCCCTTGCAAGGATGTCCCTTAGACGATGCTTTTCTACGATCTCCTAGCCTCGCTCCCGTCCGACCAAAAGCAACCCCTTCGCCCTCCCCACCCCCCAGTTGTAACGCAGCAAGTTACCATTTCGCCAACTGCTTAGAACGTCAGCCCTCCCGCCTCCCAAAGATGCAAGAGACCTGATTAGCGACAGACCCGTCCAAGTCAAGGGGACTTCGTTCTCATCCAGGTTATAGACCCAAACCAACCCGACATTGCACAAGTTGGCGAACAAGCATTAAATTTGGATTTAGGTTCTAAGGCCGAGGACGAGGACATAGAAGAGCAATCTAAGACGGGCGCTGTCGATGCTAATCTAGTGACGGCTGCTAGAAGCCATAGGTATGATGATCTAAGCTAGGAATGTTTGTGAGACAGCTAAGTTCCACACAGCATTAGTAATACCGACTCTTACGGTTTCCCATCGACACTTTCCGCACGCCCGTCTATTTCATCGACGACCACTTATTTACTTCCATCTAGTTCACCAATTTAGTCACCACAGGATCCGCAGTCAGACAGCGCGGCGCAAGCAAAATATCTGAACCAGAGTTCCCCTTCTGGCGGTTCACGGACAATGAACGATAAAGAAGCGGTCTAACGAGAAGGGCGGGACAAGAGATAGTCAAATTTATACATGAAACGCACGATATCGCAGGACATGGCAATAGCTGAACAGCACCGAACCAAAATGCGACCTATTGCCATCGCAGATCTCCAACAAGGGCGCATTTATGCTGGTCGGAATCGCATACTCAACCGCGATGTTCTGCATGAAGGAGCGGACATTGGTCCAGTCGACGGGAGAAGGAGAAGGCTGAGCAAGCTGCTAACCGAGCCCAGAAGCGGAGGGCTCAAAAGGCAGCAAAACAACTTCAGTGACGTATAAAATTGTCCCAAAAGGGTAAGAAGCAAGCTTCAAAGCCTCCTAAAGTAGCTATCAAGAAGAAGAAGCAAGTGGTTGAGGTAGTGGGTGGTGAGGAAGCCTCAGGGGCTGCATCGGCAGCTCCACCCAAGGCAACGCGCCGCAGCCGCAACGTCAAACTTCCGGATAAATACAAGTAGCACAATCTGATCGCATGTATCAAATAAGTACTCCGCCACAAAAATCTCGTGGTAATAGCTATTGTAGATGAGGTGTTATGGTGTTGCGCGTGCGCTACGCGAATCCGGGCGACACGCGCACAGACGCGGTATGGGACGAGCTTTTCTGATGGCACGGGGGAAGCGAGTCGCCTTTCGTACATGGAGGATTGGCATTGTTAGAATGCTGTTCATTTCCACGGAAGGAACGAGCCATGGACTGCTCTTGGTCGATCATGGTTGCAAGGCTCAGATTGGAGTACAGTAGTCGCTGGACGCCAGAAGTGGGATGAAGGCAATTAGCAACGCTAAGAGGCGGGCAGATGGACCCGTCATTAAACTCTATGTCTGAGGCTTGTTACCCGCTGATCGTACATGCAGCTTTCAGTATTGCAGATCTCGTTCCGCTCAGCAGACCCTTGCAGAAACGGGAGCGAGGCGCGGTCCGCACAAGCAACCTGACAGGTAATTGACCCGACTACTCTACTGAGATATGGTTTGCGCTTTGTCCGACTACGCTTATCTTCAGTCATGTGCAAGTACACACCAGACACTCTTTAGCTCCATTGAAATAATGACTGTTTCGTGAAAAATAGTCGCTCCAGCGTATGAAATATGTTAAGGTGGCTGGATTAATGGCGAGAAGAATATTTCCCAGTTGGATTTGGGTTGGAAGCCCGTGTTTGTGCAACGATTAGTTGAAGATCACTGCACAGCTAAAAAGGAAATGCTAGGAAACGAATGAAAATAAAGACGCTATCGCAGATCCGCGAACGAAGCTGCACAAAACCTTGTCTTTGTTACCCTATCAGAGTAACCCACGTTAGGCTAGGCACATTTTCTTTTTGTGACGACAAGGAACTTACAAATAAGATTCGTCCCAGATGAGCCATTTCTGTGGCAAGTGTCCGAAATGAGCTTGGAGCGGCTCGCTGATTGTGAAAGATTACTGGACAACCCATTCTAAAGGAGGGCATCCAAATGAGTTAGCGTTTTGTTTCGCGTATAGCGACCTTTGATGATTCCTGGCCACCCACAAAATCATGGCTTCGGAACCGCCAGTGGTGACTAGTTGTTTTGAGAGAAATCATTCCTCGCTCCTCACGTCGTAGCCGATCGGCGGTGTGGCTTGCAAAATATTTACCATCAACAGCCACACAAGCCTGTTTTGGACATGAGTGTATTGAACATATGAGACTATCTTGGTGGCATGTGAGGGGTGGTTTGGAAAGGAGATGATAGGAGAGTACCCTGACAGCGTGAGAGGGATGACTTTAGTATTTAAGCGCTTGCCTTCACGGTTTAACGTAGCGCGGCAAGTCCAAGCCCATGACTTGCCTCAGCCACTCACGAATTGGTAGCTTTGCAATACCTTTCTAACCCCACGAAGCCTAGCCAGGCGGTTTTAAACTGCTCTTCCATCATGAGACTTTTGAACATCAATACCTTTGAACTCCACAAGTTCGACAAAGAAATTCCACCGTACGCAATTCTATCCCATACGTGGGGCAACGAAGAAGTCACATTCGGCATGCAAGCACAACCAGCTCTAAAGAACACTAGCAGAAACAGGCTTCAAGGTGCGTCAAATAACGAGCCACATGACAATCTCTCTAATATTTCAGCTAGAAATGGCAGGAGAAGTTCTCAAAGTAAAGGGGTTCTGCAATCTTGCCCACGATGCAGGCTATGAATGGGGATGGATAGACACATGCTGCATCGACAAGTCTTCGCCGGCCGAGGAGTCCAAAGCCATCAAAAGTGGTACCGCGACGCCGGAGTCTGCTATGCCTACCTTGCCGACCTCCCAGGTACAGCCGGGGATCTGGAGGACTGCCGCTGGTTTACGCGAGGGTGGGCTCTACAGGGGATGATCGCCCCCAAGGTGGTAAAATTCTATAATAAGGATTGGGAATACCTGGGCTCCAAATCCGATGACCATATGCAAGACCGCCTAAATCGGATCACGGGCGTTGACAAGCGCGCCCTGCGCGGCGGCCACCTGTGCTTATTTAGCGCAGCGAGGAAGATGTCATGGGCATCAAAACGCAATACTAAGTTAGACGAGGACATAGCGTACTGCCTGCTGGGCATCTTCGACATCTCGATGCCCATGCTGTACGGGGAGGGGAACAAGGCGTTCATCCGGTTACAAGAAGAAATCGTCAAGCAGTATGACGACGAGTCACTCTTCGCGTGGAAGACTAACTAAAAGACGGACGGCACGGCCGGCCTGCTCGCGACGAGTCCCAAGGTCTTCGAAAATTCAGCCGACATTGAATCGTGCCTACCTCCCGAGGCCGACCCGAGCGATAGCGAACCAATCACGATTACGGGCCGGGGCGTGCGGCTGAACGCGCCCGCCAAGAGGCAAGGCGGGAAGCACGTCCTCCGGCTTAACTGCAAGCGTGTCGCCTTCAATCGTAAAAGTTGCGACCGCGTCGGCATCATCGTCGCAGCTGTGACCAACATCCTGGACTCCTGGTACCAATTGGGCGTGCAGATGTACAGCCGCAAGGACACCAGTTTGCTCGAGAAGTTTACATCCGAGGGTGCGCCAGAGCCGCGGTCGATCTATCTGCTCAAGGAAAACCGCCTGCCAGGATTCGATCTCGCATCGTACGATGTCTTCTTGATCCGCACTATGCCTCAGTGGCCGGAGGGGCATGGGTTCACGCTGCAGAAACCGACCCAATAACGTACTTCACAAGCGAACACCCCACACAAGGGAACATCCCAAAAATGCTAAGCACGAAAATTAACAAGTATTTCTTAAATAACTAAGCGAAACCTTAATATTTTTCTATAAAGTTTTAAATATATATAGAACTAACGTACTTTACAAACGAACGTATCACACAAACGAACGACCCACGATTTCTTGGCAAGGAAAATTAACGAAAATTAACGAGCTTTTCTTAAATAACTAAGCGAAACCTTAATACTTTTCTATAAAAATTTATATATATATTTTTTATAGTATATTACACCTTATACTAAAGTTATACTAAGATATATTACGTAATTAAAAAGCTATACGTATTTAACTAACTTTTAAGAAAAATCTAGTTTACTTCTAGTAAGTACTATTATATCTTTATAATAATATATAAAACTTATAGTATATAGTATTTATAACGTAATAAAGGTTTCTAGAAAACTTTTATAGAGCTAGCTCTTCTAGATATAGCGTAATAAGAGATAGAAGTTAAAAAAATATCTTCTTTAGAGTTTTCTTCTCTAACTATAGATATATATAAATAATCTAGCTATATAAAGTTATAAATTATAAGATTATATATACTATAAGCCTGCTATATATTTAGAAGTAATAATTTTAAGATAGTTTTAGTATCTTTCTACCTTTCTATACTATACTACTAAAATTGCTTTACTTTTAAATAACTACTTAAAGCTACTATATTATTAGTTTATAAGCTCTATATAGTTAAAGCCTACTATAATCTATATAATAATAAGTTTATATAGCTAGATTAACTATATATATATATAGTTAGAAGAGAAAACTATAAAGAAGATATTTTTCTAAGTTCTATCTCTTATTACGCTATATCTAGAAGAGCTAGCACTATAAAAGTTTTCTAGAAACCTTTATTAAGTTATAAATACTATATACTATAAGTTTTATATATTATTATAGAGATATAATAGTACTTACTAGAAGAAAACTAGATTTTTTCTTAAAAGTTAGTTAAATACGTATAGCTTTTTAATTACGTAATATATCTTAGTATAACTTTAGTATAAGGTGTAATATACTATAAAGAATATATATATAATATTTTATAGAAAAATATTAAGGTTTCGCTTAGTTATTTAAGAAAAGCTTGTTGATTTTCGTTGATTTTCCTTGCCAAGAAATCGTGGGGGGTTCGGTGGTGTGGGGCTTTCGGTGGTAAAGTACGTTAACCTGCATTCTCGCTCACGATTTTCGCATACAGCTACTTACCTCACCTGTCCGAAACGGGCATAGACCTGTGCACGTCCAGAGACGCGTCGCTCAGGGGTAGTATATACATTGCCTTTCCGGTCTGTGTTAACGTGAAATACACGATCCGCTATGGAGGTAAGAACGGTGTTATGCGTTGCGGAAAAGCCATCGATTGCGAAAGCAATTGCAAACCACTTGGGAGATCAAGTGACTACCGTGAGTACAGACGCGCGCAATCCGCCAGTCGAGCTAATGGACGTGCAGCATAACATCCAAGGCAATCCATATGTGAAGAACTACGAATTCGACTACACCTTTCCGCAATGGGGTCATTGCAGTGTCACGATGACCTCTGTGCTAGGCCACCTCCTCAACCACGAGTTTGAGCCGCGATACAAGAGCTGGACTTCATGCGACCCATCTGCGCTTTTTAACGCTCGCATCGAGGTTTTCGTGGGTAGCGACGGAAAGTCTATCGCAGACAACATCAAGCGACACGCTCGCCGGGCCGACATGCTCTATATCTGGACCGACTGCGACCGCGAAGGTGAGCATATAGGCACCGAGATTCGGTCGGTGGCAGCACAAAGCAACGAGGCTCTGGGTCGCGCTGGCGGCACAGTAAGAGCACATTTCTCCAACATCGAAAGAGCGCATATCATTCACGCCGCACAGCATCCTGCCGATCTCGACGAAGCGCAAGCCGACGCAGTAGCTTCTCGTATCGAGCTCGATCTTCGTGTGGGCGCAAGCTTCACCCGGCACCTCACTCTGAGTCTTCGTCCTGTACTCCAGCGAGGCAATCTGTCAGAAGCCTCTCAATTAATCAGCTACGGGAGCTGTCAGTTTCCTACGCTTGGCTTCATCGTCGAGCGCTACTGGCGCGTTCGGAATTTTATCCCGGAGCCATTCTGGAGCATCAAACTAATGCATCGAAAAGCTGGAACAAGGGTGAACTTCAGTTGGGCTCGCAAACACCTCTTCGACAGAATGACAGTTGTTATTCTCTATGAGTGGTGTCTCACTTCACAGAATGCTCAGGTCCAAAAGGTCAAAACTACGCCAACGAGGAAGTGGAAACCCTTACCATTGACTACTCTAGAGCTTCAGAAGTGCGGTAGCAGATTCCTTGGAATGGACAGTCAAAAGGTTCTGCAGCTTGCAGAAAAGCTATATCAAAAAGGTTGGATTAGCTATCCTCGAACCGAGACAGATCAATTCGATCAGGGTATGGACCTTCGCGGCCTCGTCCAGAAGCAGGCGCAGGGCGGCCGCTGGGCTGATTATGCAACGACGCTGGTCGAAGGAGGCTTTTCGTGGCCCCGTAACGGACGTAATAATGATAAGGCCCACCCGCCTATCCACCCGGTCAATTTCGTCAATCCAACTACGCTCTCACATGAAGAGCAGCGTGTCCATGAGTTCGTCGTCCGGCGCTTTCTGGCATGCTGCAGCAAAGACGCCCAGGGGTCAAAGACCGACATTAGTATTCTCTATGGACCGGAAACATTCAACACATCTGGCCTTGTAATATTAGAGCGCAACTATCTCGATGTCTACGTTTACGATCGGTGGTGCAACCAAGAACTTCCCCCGTTCATCGAAGGCGAGGTCTTCGAGCCGACCGAAGCTATTCTCAGTGAAGGCAAGACGTCACCACCTGGATATCTAACTGAACCGGACCTGCTTGCACTAATGAACGCGAATGGTATCGGCACTGATGCCACAATGGCCGACCATATTGTCACAATTATAGACCGACAATATGTCGAAGCCAGAGCTCAGCCAAGACAGGCGCGGCATGGAAATGACGAAGAAGAGTCCGAGGAGTTGCCAGCCCAAGCGAGAGTCGGAAATGGTCGTAGAGGTAGAACTGCAGTAGCCCGTCGTTGTGGCGGCAGGAATAGCGGTGCTAGTAGCGGTGGCGCTATAACAGGTGTTCGGGAATTCATACCCACGACGCTAGGGGTCGCTTTGGTTGAAGGCCACGAGAATATGGGGTTCGAGACTAATTTGACGAAGCCTTTTTTGCGCAAGGAGGTAAGAAATGTCCTTGATCAATCTCTATCACGGGCTGCTAATAATAGGCGTAGATGGAGCTAAAGATGAACGCCATATGCAATAGACAAACGACCAAGGCTCGGGTCGTGAACGAAACTATCGAGCAGTATCGAGGGGTCTATGCTCGCATGCAGCAACACCCAGACGTCCTTCGTACGGTGAGGACTGAGTCTCGGCGTACCTACTTCTCCGCTGATGTGATTGCAGGCTGTTCGGAAGCATGTTTTGGGTGAAGTGAACTGAGGATTGTCTACCTAACAAGTATGGTGGTATTCAGTGCTAGAGTAATGTCGGTGAGCTTTCGGGAGGAGTGTCTCGTCCTTTGCTTTCCAATATTGGATCTGGCGGCTCTGGGGTCACATTCTCACCACGCGAACAGCACATCGCGCTGCCATCAGTCGCCATCCCAGGGCCCGCCAGCGTTGCATGTTCCTGGATTCTTGCGCATGCTCTCCGTTATATTTACCCTCCCAAGCGGACAACAGCGCGCACTCTCGACCTCGCGAGTGTTTGGTTGCGCCTACGTCTCGGCTTCCACAACGCGCGAAACGACTAGCCCGTGCCACCGAGGCCGCCCTTGGGCGAAAAGACCTGGCTCGCTCTGTTGAACACGACTCCTTCTGCGCCTGCTCCTGCATCGCTCGTCTTCGAAAGCGCCGCGTGCCCCGCTGACCGTCCTACCCTGCCACGTCTGCGCGACCCGAGTCCACACGCCCCAACACCGACGACCTCGCTCCCTAGGCTGCTGCCCTCCCCCGTTGGCCTCTCTCACGAGAACCGGCGCTCTCCTCAATTTGCCGCATCATAGCAGGATGGCACACCCGTACGTTCCGCCTGAATACAACATCGACGCTCAGCACGACGGCACCGAACACCTCGCCATCAACAACACTTGGTTCCGCCGTTTCTTGACACGGCTGGCGTTGCATACTACGGCGAAGTTCTATTCGCGAGGTGGTCTCCGTGTGCCCATCTCGAAACACAAAATCGTCAAGACAGGACTCCGCGTCCATCTGACAGAAGGTGCAACTCTGAAATACCTAGCAGAGAATACGACCATTCCTGTCCCGAAGGTCTATTGCTCTTTTCTACACAGGAACAGAGCGTACATTGTCATGGAGAGGATCCGAGGCGAAGAGCTACCGATAATCTTGAAGACCATATCTAAAGAATCACTCGAGGGTGTCTTTTCGCGGTTGAGAAAGATCCTCCAGGAGTTGCGCGCCCTGACCCCTCTTCCAGGCACGTGGGTGGAAAGTTGTGTTGGCGGGTCTCTGTATCACTCTCGCATACCCCGGGGGAATCCACGCTTCAGCCCCTTCAAGACAATTCAAGGATTTCATTTCTGGCTCAGACGAGACCTAAGGCCCGAGGATCTCAAAGATCGGGAAATGGATCAGGATTGGCACGACCTCCAGGACATAATCAGCAAACAGGATGGGCCATGGCCTCCGCCAATCTTCACCCATGACGATCCCAATCCGTCCAACATTCTTATTCGCAAGGGAAATGTGGTTAGAATTATCGACTAGGAGTTCTCCGGATGGTATCCACCTTATCGTGAATATACGTCGGCCTGGTTTGGCAACGTGACGAGAACGGAATAGCAGGGCCTAATTAACCGTTTTCTCGACCGACCACTTCCTAAGGAATTCAAGATGAAAGAAGTTCGCTACAAATGGTGGGGCGAATGGTAACCCTCTCAAGAGGACATTCGTACTGCTCGTTAAAGCATAACTTAAGGAATGACGCAATTCTAACACCACCGCGCTCTACAATCTCTAGTCAACCGTTCTCCTGCGACAGCCCACGATGGTAAGCTCCTACAAGACACTTTTTTTATTCTTATTCTTAAGCATATCCCACGTTGGCTTCGGTCTCGTTATATCTTCAGCAGACTAATAGCGACTACTAGCAGCCTTGTTGGCTACATACTGTCTCGCGAACGCCTTGATCTTCTGCCAATCAAGCTTAGCAGTGCTAACACACTTCCTATCCTTAGCAATCTCAGCAAGGGCGCTCGCAATCTAAGTACGGCATCTCTAGTTTAGATCGCCCTGTACGACTGGTAGTCGTCGAAGAAGAGTAATGAGACGCTGTTCGTCTTCGATCTTGGCAATGAGAATGCGTGCCAAGAGGCTGTTGGTGGCTTGGACATGTTGCAATCGTTGAGTGCTACTCGATCTAGACTAGTGCTTCGTACGCCACGTTAATTGCTCGATCACTGTATTTTTCTTCTCAAGGTCTGCCCTCGCCGCGTTGAACTTATCCAGCTCGTGCTTGACGAATGCATGCATACGCCCTAAAAGCGCGTCTACGAGCCCTTGCTGCTCCGTCTGGAACTCAGCAAGCCAGCCCTTAACAAGCGTGGTGATGTCCACCACATCTCGCTGCGTTCCGCCATACTGCTCCCGGTTCTGCGCGTGCAGCTCCGAGCGCCGTCGTAGTGTCAAATGTAGACCTGTGTTATCCGTAATGGACTGGCCGAGTGTTGTCACCAGCTCGCTGTTGAGGCTCGTGAGCTGCTGCTCAGTGCGCTCGTGCTGCTGGCGGACGAAAGTCTCGTCGTTGAGCATGCGCCTCGTATGCGCTAGCGCCACTTTCGTCTTTTCTAGCAACGAGTTTGTGCTGTCGAGAACGCCCTTGGTGGCTTCGCTGTCCTTCTTCAAGATGTCGAAACTGCTCGTGAGTTCGAGCAGGTCCTGTCCTTTGCGGGCGAGTTTGCACTCGATTGTTTCAATCTTCTCGCGCTGCTCCTTGACTAGAATCCTATTTGACTCAGGCTCATTTGTGAGCTCCTCGTATGCTTCATGTGTAAGGTACACGCCATTCCGCTGTCGCGTAGCGGTGAGCTCTGACTTGAGTCTCTCGATCTCAACGGTGGATTCTTTCAGGAGTGTCTATTTCGAAATTAACTTGTTGATCTGCGGCTTATTTCTGATGTTCTTCGCGCGGAAAGCGTAATCTAGGGTTGAGATAGTCTCCAAATTCAGTCTCGCAGGGGAGAGTGTCGCGATAATGCATGTTTTCGTTCGACCGCCTAAAGAATCTTGCAAAAGCCGCGTGAGTTTTGATTCGCGATACGGGATATGTGCTGATCGATCAACAAGCGCGTAGGACAGCATGGCGTACGGCATCACACGTTCGCCTTCTAGCCGGGCATACCGCACACAGTCATGAACATGAACAAAGTCTTGCCCGAGTCCAGCTGCGACTGTGCGCCGAGATGTTAGTGCGCATGGCTGCACGCGCTCATAACCCAGGTGAGGGCAGACAAGGCGCGCGTGACGTTCGAAAAAGTTCAGCTTCGCGAGCGAGTACCTGGTCTAGCACATAGTCGTGGGCGAGATCGAAATCGCTTCGTCAGTGTTGCTCGTGCAGTTGACGAAGGCCGCGGACTAGCCAGGTTTGACCTCGATCTACTCATAGGTTCACTGACACGTGCTACACGCCGCAATCGAAGGCGCTTTCAAAGGGTGGTCTGCGGAGAGGACGATGATGGTGTGAGATGAGGCTGGAGTGGTGCTGGCAGCGTCGGGGCGGGCGCCGAGGACTTGGGAGCGATGGCGCGCCGAAGCGAGCCGGGCACACCCGCCAATCAGCGCCACTCGCCGCGGCGCAGTCTCCAGATCTCACCCATGGATGGCGATGGCGCGGCTGGCCGTCAAGACGGCGAGCGGGCGAGATACCACATAGCTGGGCTGCGCGCGACGGCGGCGGCAATATGGGCGTAATTGGCAGATGGATCATGGCGCCGCCGGCCCACGGCGCCCTGCAGCGGCGGCGGCCACCCGGCCTTCGGCAGATCGCAGATTTAACCTTGTCTGCTTCGTGCCATCCCGCCCCAGGGCGCCACCAGACCTCCGTCCTCACCTCGCTCTGCTGCCCAGCGCTCACGTCGACCTGCTGCTCCTCCGTCTTTCCTGCGCACACAGTCTTCTGCCTCTTCGCATACCGCGCATGCTGCATCCAGTGCCGCTGCCGCCCCCCTCAGCCCACCCTCCCCGCCGCCCGTCTGCGCTCCATCCGACCATGCATCCGCTTTCGGTGCGATGACTTCTCGTCCTGGCCCAGGGATCCAAGAATCTCTGCAGCATCGCGGCGGCGGACCTGCTTATCGGCCGGTGCGGCGCGTACCCCGTCCCCAGCATGGCCCGCCACGCTCGAGCCGGGAGAGCGAGCGAAGGGCGGCGGAAGAGCGAGTGACGAGGCCCAAAGGCAAGCGCAGACCGGTGCAGCTCGAGGGCATACAGACGGCGACGGACGGTGGCGTGCGGCCGCCTCCGAAAGGGAAGCCCCAGCTGTTCTTCAGCAACGTGGCCGGCAACGCCGGCGAGCTGTCGCCCCATGGCCCGCCAGCCCAAAATCTGCCCGTACCACCGCGGCCTGGCTCTTCCTTGCGCGGGGGCGTCTCGCACCAGCGCCGTAGTCTTCCTGGCGGAACGGGCGTCAAGATCGGAGGCGCCCCCAAAGCCCGGGGCCCAGAGGCGCCAGCGCCGGCTGCTGTACTTCCGGGAGGCAGTAAGTTTTGCTCCCCGAGCGGGGAACGGTGCGTTGACCACGCTCTAGAAACGGCGGACCTGTTCCCATGGACGGGCAGACATCCCGAGGATGCGCTGTCCGAGGCCCTGGTCAAGGCCGGCACAAGCAACAAGTCTCAGATCATGAACGAGACGAATACGGCCCGTCCGTCGCTGTGGTCGAATCTGAGGAATAAGTCCGGCATCTCAGCTCTCTCCACACTGTTCGTCGCCGTCCTCGAGAAGAGACAGTCCTGCGGCCGTCTCACCACACCCAACACGTTCAAGCCGCCTCCACGGCTGACATTGAGGGACTCCACACGGGAATCATGGCTTCACGACCTGGCGAACCCGGCCGTCGGACTTCGAAGGCTGAGTCGTACTATTCCTCACGGCATCACGGGCAAGGTGCTTCTGGATCAGTGCCTCAACAAGAACATCCCTATTCCAAGAGCGACGTGGCTGGCCAAGTGCGTCGGGATCAACGAGATGCGCGCCCACAAACGCAAGGGCCAAGCCGGCACCATCACGTGGGTGCGAGGCTGGACAAATTCAGTGGAACAGTTTCTGGACGGCGTAATTGCAAATATTGGACAACAGGAGTGGAAGTCCCGCATTACATACGCGTAGGTGCCGTCCTTCCTCTCCGAGAAGCTCACATTGACTTGTCCCAGGCTTCAGCTTACGACCCACCTGTTCAAAGAACATCTCCTAGAAGACGATCATTTCCTCGACTGGGTGCTCAAGAGCATTGAATCATGCCCGTCCGAGCGCTTGTTCATCTGGCTCCTCATCGTCTCTATCCCGAGCTATTGGCTAGAGCTGACGTCTTCCCGCCGCCGAGGCAAGATCCTGGCCGAATCCCTGCTCAACCACGCTGAAAAGGTAAGACAATTCATCATGTCGCACACTGTATTGCGTCTGCATTCTAACCTGTCGTTCCAGCTGTATGACCATGACGACGAAGGTCATGTCTCACCCGTCCTTGAGTTTATAGAGGACACTGTAGTCAAGCTAGTCGTGACCAGACCGGCGTGTTTTCTGCTCCCCAGGACTTGGAAGCGACACGGAGCAATCCTTCGTGCCCTCGCCCAAAGGCGGTCTTCGATCGACACGATTCACACAATAGCCGAGCTCGACGCGAGGAATATGCGAATACTGCCTTCGTCTGGCTCACGTCCTTCACAAGCACAGAACTCCATCGGCCGGATATACCGCCTCCTAGACCACGTGGATTACAGCGTGCGCGTGCCCATCGACGAATTAGCTTTCGATTGCATGGAGATCATGCCTGATGCCAACAGTCTCATGACGGCTGCCCTTCAGTGGGCGTGCTCTTTGTATCGACAAGGTTCTCATCGGATATACCTAGTCACCCGTCTGCTTCGGAAGTGGAGTCGTCTCGGTGCGGATGTTTATGATGGCATACTTGCGTTCCTTCACACGATGGCATCGGGCAGAAGCGAGGAACCACGTGTGGTCTTTCGAGTCGTTGCGGAATTAATTCGCTCAAAGACATTTCCCGCCGGCAGATACCTCCAATGGCTCATTGCTACGGGATCCTTGAGCCATCATCCGGACCTTTGTGCGGTAAGCCATCTGCCACTGTTCAATTCTGCTGCCTTCTGACTCTCTCCAGCGCTCCGCCTGGCCACTACGCTTGATGACTGAAATGCCTCTCAGTGGACTGTCGGATAATGTTCAGAACCTAAGATATACGCTCCTACGAGGGACAACCTATTCCGCAGAAGCTGAAGAGCAGGCTCTAGATTTGGCTGAAGATGCAGTCCGGCGCCGCCTCCCCAGTTTATTTAATACGGCAGATGCGATCGATAGCACAGCTCCCGTAGATCTTGGCGCTCTTAGCCCAACGGTACGGCTTGAGCTGGGCACATGGTTACGCCAACAAATTGCTGCACATACGGATTACGTTGAACGGCAAGTTTTACTCTACCTGCGTCTTGGTGCTATTCTAACAGGAATTAAGAGTTCCAACGAAAGATCCTGCCGTTGAGGTGACCGGAACTGTGTGCAGGATATCCTTACAGGACTTTCAAGTCGTCAGATCTTACCTGGAGCTTTTCGATGACCTTTCTATTCTCGCAGACGTTATTGGCATCGTTGCTACGTCTTTAGACTCTAACGTCCTGGGCGCCGCCGCGGATACCCTACACCATAACCACAAAGCTTTCAGGGCTATCGGCGCCTTCGAGCCTCTTTTCGAGAAAATTGCGATGAGGTATGCGGCTATCCGAACAGTGCGCTTCCCCGAACGGGATCTGCTTCTCAGCCTCAGCGATTTAGCTCGTACAGCCAGGGCCGATACCCAGCTTACGCAGCTATTGAGCTATGATCTCAGTCGCTACGATCAAAAGAACTCTATTGCCGCTTGCTCTCCCGCCTCTGATAATATGAATGAGGCTCTCGCACCATTGGATGTTGAAGACGAGATTGAGCGGATCCTCTCTAGCGGCACTAGTATGGACCAGCAGATGATGAGCCGGGTTTTCCGGAAAATAGCGCACAGCCTGGAAGAACAGCTTTGCAAAGGGGGCAACCACTTTGAAAGCTTCCCGAGTTGGTTCTATCGCTTGCGCAATTTTGAAGAAAGCACGTTTGACATGATTCTAGCCTCATGGCTAGGATCATTGTTAATGAGCCATCAACAGCTGTTGCTGCGTGCGGCGCTCCCTCCGTTGGTATCGTCTGGCTGCTTGACTTTATCTCGGTTTATTCAGACCATCCAACTATGCATACGCAATCGACGATCGACCCAGCCGGCGGAGGCACTCCAGATTGCAATTGAAGGCTTAGACAACCTCATCCTATCCGAGGATCCGAACCGACCCTGTCAGCCGCGAGACGCGTATCGATATAGCCTAGAACAGCGCAAGATCTGTCAGGAGCGTGGGCGGGGGATTCTTGACCTGATCGTCGACATTGTTAATCTGGGCTCTGCGGAATCTAGGCCAAAGAGTCCGACAGAGCTGTCCGATGTCCTGTCTAACGATCGGCTTCTCATGGTCCTTAGAGATTTCGCCATCTATGAGTCACAAAGCTTATCCGAATCGCTATGCGCCGGCGAGCAACCCTCTTCTAGCGCGAAACACACAGTCATCAAGACGCTGCTGGATCGCTTGTTGGACCCAGCCAGTGACCTAGGTACGTTCCTTCATCCGGCCTTGTTCCTCTCTGATCTCTGACATCAAATATAGGCCTGGCGAAGAAGAGTCTCGGGCAGCAAGTGACTGTAATAGTGGAGTCCGCGAACGACCTCACTCTACCTTTCTGCCAGCTACAGCTCCAGCAGATTTTCTTCATGAGCAAAGACTCATTGGATGACAATGCAGTCGAGGGTGTTTCCGCAGCCCTTCTCCTTGCTGTCAAGGATGCCGTTGAGAAGGACCGGCCTTCTTGGACAGATCTCCTCACTGGCCTGGATACAAGTCTCACAAGCAAGGTACGCAGAGTCTTCCCCCACATCGTCATCGCTAATTCACCTCGTCAGATCCGAGAGCATGCTGAGCGGGAATTAATCAATGCTTCCGCCTTCCTTTGCGGCGTGACTGTTGACGAGGCTGCGCAAGTCGCGGATGAAGCGTTATTCGTCCGCAAATCCCTAACAGTCATCGACTTCACTACTACGGACACTTTGGGAGATGAGCAAACACCCCTTCTTGTATCACTCATTGAGCGTCTCAAAGGTTTAGCGGAGGCATTCGGTAAGCGCGACCACCAGTTCGATGGTAGTGCCGAGCTGAAGAAGAGCCCATCGATCTCAAGTCTTTGCTTATGGTAAGCCTGACGATGTCTTCACGAGCTGACCATGTGCTAATTGTAGAAGGCTCAACGCGCTACTCCAACTCACTGTCACTCATGGTTCGCTATTCCTACAAAAAGCCAGCAACGAACATCAGGCTGCGCTTTTGTGGCATCTAAGAGCGCTCGGCACTCAGCTAGCTCTCGAGGCCTACCCCTCTATCGTACAGTACATCTTCGATGTGGCTGTTCTCCTCTCAGACAGCGTCTCTGAAAACGTCCGTAAACACCTAGCGCGCCTTGATGTTACCAAGGCGGTCGATAATCGTTGGACTTTCATCTACGGGGCGGTAGCTTCTCCTGACGGCTGGCTCACGCTCACAAAACCCGCCAACACTCCCTCCAACCCGCACCCAACCGCTTCCCCTCAAGCCCAACCGCAGCCAAGCAGCCAATACCAGTTACAGTATGCTCAACAGCCACAGGGACTTGGTTCTGTGCCTCTTCAGCGGGCATTCGGGCAGCAACAGTACCAGCAGCAAATGCCATCCCCGGGCCAGACCAATGCCCGGGCTTACCCCCACCCGCAGCATCCCCAGCCTAATAAGATGTTCCCTCAACAACTTCAACGAATGGCACCTAATGGCCACAACGGTCCACCACAGTTGCAACAAATGCAACAAATGCAAGCTCTTACGCAGCAGCGCAACACACGGCCTTCACCGGTTCAGCAGCAACGGGCAGTAGCAGTTCCGCCTCCGCCTCCGCCTCCCACGAGTGGCGTGAGAAAGGGGGGGGCGATGAAGCAAGACAACGCAGAAAGGAAAGCCGTGGCCTTCGCGCTGCGGCGGTGGGAGATCCTACCGGACAGCGGCGGGAATGCTGGAGGGAATGAGACAGCGATCAGCCTTGGCCTCTTCGGGGCTAGGAAAGTTTGATCATGTCACATTACGTCCTTTCATTTGACCTCGTTTTCTTTGCATTTTGGCTCACATTTGCGCATATTAGCGGCGGAGTTCGGAAGAAACGGGATTTAGCAGGCTCAAGTCCTGCATGTTCGGTTGTCATGCTATAGGGGGTTTGTGAAGATGCGAGCCTAGGCGTTTCTGGTGTATTATATAGGTGGTGAGGGAAACACAAGCATAACGCGACATGACAACGTTCATAGACGGATGGAGGCGCATTCCCAACATGGAGCGAATATTGGAGGTTGGTTGGCATCATCTTTGTATTGGTATTGGCAATGGTATCGAGTTTTTGCCCACCCAAGGGCACAAGGCGGTCTTTAGACACCGTTTGGTATGCCCGGTCCATGCTCGCCCCCGACGACCCAATCCCTCACCTGTCCCTTCCAGTCTGCTATCCTTCCATCACGGATGCGGACAACGACTACCCTGACCTCATCCCCGTCAACGTAACACCTCGTCCCACCGTCTCCTTCCCTTGTGCCTTCGTCCTGTTGCTGCCGCTCCAGGCCGCCCCCGCCCCATAGACCACCGCCGACAGGCGAGCTGGAATAGCTGTCCTCGGTCGGTTCAAACGTGTTATTCGCCAAGTGCTGCGCCTTGCACCACGCTTCCTGTTGACTGCCGCGCGGAACAATTTCGGCGACCCCATTGATAGTGGTGCTGATTCTGCTCAACGAGGCCGTGTTCATGCCGAGCAGGAGTTCGGCGAGCGACCCGGAGCGCGGATTGGGGCGCGAGGGCGAGGGAGAGCGGCCTGGCTGGCCCAGCGTAGGCGGCCGGTGGGAGACCCAGTCATGGACGAGGAGCGACACGAGCGGATTGGATTCGAGGTTGTGGGTCTTCTGGGAGGACGAGGGCGTGGTCATGATGATGGTGGGGTGGGCGGAGTAGGGCGTCGACGGCAGGTACGTGTAGTTCATGAGGGAGATGTGCGGAACGTTGTTGGACGAGGTTGCGAGGTGCAGCTTGCAGACGGTTAGCCGTGGTCGAGACAGCGTCGCTGGAGAGCACGCACGAATCGCGCGTTTTGGAGGCATGTAATCACCTCGTCTGGGAGGCTGTGCTGCGCGGAATCGGCAGAGGCCATTGTTGCGGGGAATGCGTCTCAGATGGGAGCGGCATGGAGGTGAGGCGCGGCGGCATGAACGGCGACGCCAGGACTTGGGACAGCGCGGGCCGGAGCCGTCCGTGCGCCAAAGCTTCGCTGGTCCTCCGCGTCCGCCCCATCCATCACCGGCACAGCCTCATACTGTTGACTACTCGTACGCACACGCACACGCACACGCACACCCTCCCGCCTCGTGCGCTGTCGCCTGCTCCCGAACCATCGCCCGCATACCCTCTGCAACATCGCGCCAGCAGCAGTCCCGCGGCCCTAATGGCGGCGCCCACGCTCCCGCCGATGGAGACCGACAGCTTCAATCCAGACTTCAACAACGTCTCCGGAGCAGCGAACGGCACGGCGCACGCAGACGGCGCGGCCGCATCTCCAGTAGACGCGGCAGCCTCTGCGCCCGCCGTGCAGCTGCCCGACCAGAAGCACGACGCGCCCGACGCGCCCGACGCTCAGACGCAGCACAAGGTCCACGATGTCCTCCACTCCGACATTGGCGTCAACACGCTGCTGAACCGGCTCAAGGCCAGCATTGCCAGCGCCAGGGTATGCCCATCCCGCCCGTGCCCGCCCGATGGCCGGCTAACTTGAGCAGGACTTCGCCAGCTTCCTGAAGCGCCGCGGCGCCATGGAGGAGGAGCACGCCAACAGCCTGAAGAAGCTCAGCCGCCTGACGCTCGACAACATCCGCAAGCCCGAGGCGCGCCACGAGAGCTACCAGACGCAGTTTGAGCACGTCATGCACGCCAACGAGCGCATCGCCGACAATGGCACCCAGTTCGGCCTGGCCCTCCACGCCATGCACGAGAACCTGCTGCAGCTGGCCAACAAGATGGACGGCAGCAGGAAGACATGGAAGCAGCAGGGCCTGACTGCGGAGCAAAAGGTCCAGGACGCCGAGAGGCTTGCGGAGAAGGCGAAGGCCAAGTACGACCAGCTCGCCGAGGACCTTGACCGGGTGAAGACAGGCGACACGGGAGCCGGCAGGAAGTTCGGCCTCAAGGGGCCCAAGTCGGCCGCCCAGCACGAAGAGGATCTCCAGCGCAAAGTCCAGGCAGCAGACCAGGACTATGCCAGCAAAGTACAGACTGCCCAGTCGTACCGCAAGGAATTGGTCGCTACCACCCGCCCCCAAGCAGTGGCGGCACTGGTCGACCTCATCAAGGAGATCGATGCGGCCTTGACTATGGAGATGCAGAAATACGGTAAGTCGACGTGCCGAGTGAATAGTACGCTTCTGACTATGATAGCGTCTTTCAACGAGAAATTGGTCGTCAACAACGGCCAGGTCGTCAGCCCGCAGCCGTTGAAGGGTGGCGCAACCCAGCCGTCGCCTACCATAAACCAACTCATCTACCAGATCAACAACGAGAGGGACTTTGATGACTATGTACTCAAGCACGCCTCCAAGGTTCCGTCGGTACGGTCGGACCTCCAGTACGTCAAGCATCCAACCCAAGCTCCGACCCACGCACAGCCTACTCCGCCCGCCGCCACTGTTACCGGCCGACGGACCTCAATGCAGATGCAGAGTCAACCCGCGCCTGCATTTGGGCTGCAACAGTCCGATACAGCCCAGTCACCTGCGCACTACCAGGCCCCCTCACAGCCTGAGCCCGTACAACAGCCCAGCTATCAGAGCTATAACACTGGCTATTCGCAGCAACAGCAGCAGCAGCAGCAGCAGCAGCAGGTCCCACAGCAGTACCAGTCCCCATACGGCGCGTCTGCTTATTCTCCAGTCGCGCAGAACCCGTATTCTCAACCGGACTACCCCCGTGGTCCCGCAGGACAGGCAGCGGCGCAGCAAACCAGCGGCGTGCTTTATGGCGGCTCCTCGCCCCCGGTCAACCCAGTGTTTGGTGTCAACTTGGATCAACTCTTCGCAAGGGATGGTTCTCCGGTGCCATTAGTGGTCTATCAGTGCATCCAGGCCGTCGACTTGTACGGACTCGAAGTCGAGGGTATTTACCGTATCCCAGGCACCGCCTCGCACATTCAGGCGATGAAGGCCTTGTTTGACAGTGGTACGTCGCCCACTTTGGAATCTGATGCGAGCTAACTAACTCGTTGCAGCCGCTACTCAAGTCGACTTCCGCAACCCAGAAGCATTCCAACATGACGTCAATAGCGTTGCTGGCCTGCTCAAACAGTTCTTCCGCGAGCTACCGGATCCGCTCTTGACGAAGGACTTTTACACGAAATTCATAGATGCAGCCCGTATCGATGATGACACCATGCGGCGAGACTCGATGCACGCCTTGATCAATGCGCTACCCGACCCGAACTACGCCACTCTTCGCGCCCTCATGCTACACCTCCATCGTGTGGAGCAATCGTCTGAAGTGAATCGCATGAGCACTGCCAATCTGGGCATATGCTGGGCGTGAGTACTCTCACTCGGATTCCTAAGCCATTCTGACATCCCTAGGCCGTCCATCATGGGCCCTCACAAGGGTAGCAACATGGCAGACGCTGGACTTCAAGCTCGGGTTATCATTACAATTTTGGACAACGTGCTCCAGATTTTTGATGAAGATTAAGTTTGCCCAGGAGTCTTTGCCATTGTCATAGCAGAGTTCAGTGCTTATCCCCTTTGTACAGGGAAACATGGGAGCGGGAGTCGATGGTATCCGCACACTCCAATGCTCTACAGATCTCAACTAGCCGAACCTCCCCCACGGGTTTCACAACAAGCCGAGGGAGCCTATACGCAGAAGCAATACAAGCTTGGGAGAATTGCGCGAAGGCGACCTCTTCGGGTCGCCACCCCAGTCGGGCCAAAACTTCCCTTTTCCGCCAAGCAACCTGAGCGGTCCCTATTGATGAAACGGACTTTCCTGGACTAGGCTACCGCTACCTTAGACGCGCATTTCACACTTATCGGTGGAAAGGGCTCTGTTCTGCTTTGAAGTGAATGATCTGAGCCTCATGGGTAACGCGACCAGTCTCATGGTTCTAGCCTGACACCAGAGTCGCATTTGTATATAATCGCTTACGTGAGAAAAAGGGAACGGTGACTCTCTGCCCTTGCCTAGCGGTGCTGTGGAATAGATCTATCTGCTTGGTACATGTAGCTGTATAGCCGCTATATGCATGTATTCGCAATCCTGCAGGGATATTCACAGTTTCCGAGGCCGTTACTTACTGGCCAAGGACCTTTTTGTTTCGTTTCATTTCCTGTCTTCGACTCCTCCTGTGCCCCATTATCATCTGCCAAGAGCTCTCCCAATACCGCCGCTCGTTTGCTTTAGCGTGCATACCCTTTCTAGCGCCGCCTCACTACTGTCCCTTTCTAGTCACCCCTCTACCACCCTCGCCCCTACATCTTCCCGCCCATCATCTACCACACGCCGCGCACCACCTTCTCGAGCTCTCCTTCCGCTATGCCGTGCCAATCCGTCGCCGGCGGAGCGTTCATTCCGAGGGCTGGGGTGGAGAATCGACGTCCGCGAAGATTCGTTATACGGCCGGAAAGGGGCTTCGGCGTTATCAGGATTCGAAGGCGCAGGGGCGGTCTAGTGTTCGGGTCGGTGATGGGGTTGGCTGATAGGTGTCCGTCTGAACGTACGACTGGCGTCGGGATAGGAGACTCACTTGGTAGAGTAGATGCTGATAGTCTGATTGGGACTGCTGCGTGGATGGCGGGGCGTGGAGGGGGCGAGGGGGGTTCTGCGGTGGTGGGTGAGCGAGGGCGGGTAGGGAATGGGTGGCCGGATGCGTGCGTGTCGTCGTTCGGTGGGCGTGGGAGGTCAGGAATGCCAGTCTATTGCTCTGCCGTACTCGTGTAAGTAGGGAGTCACGAGCATCTGCTTACACTGTGTATAGCCCTCCCAGGTATCCTTCCAACTGCTTCGCTGCATCAAGCTCCGCAAGCTCCTATGAGCCAATGTGCTGGTCTGAAACGGCCTTCCACTACTCCAGGTCGGCACCGTATTGAAAGTAAATTGCTCTTGGCACACCCAACCTGTGTATGTGACGGGCGTAGCTAGGGCGAATGTGGTTCCGATTTTTGTCTGTAGCGGTTGCCTCGCTTGAGGCAGCGGAGTCTCCATTGCGTGCTGGCATGGTGGGTGGGGGAAGGAGGGGGGGGGAGGGGAGCGGCGGTAGATATTCCTCCGTACCCTCCACCGCTGAAGCAAGGATCCAGCGAAGTATCATGCATTGCGCTGTTCATGGAGACGCTGCTAAGACGTATGTGGCGCGGTGTTTCTATAGGGCTTCGCCACTCTCTGCCTGAGTTGATGTCCTTGTCGGCGATGGTTAGGCCGTTTTGCGACGGCCACCAAATCAACGAATGCTCGTGAAATGAAGGTAATGATAGGGTTTTTAGAGGCGTAACGCTGCTAATATTAAACAAGATAGTTCTACTTTATCAACGCAACAAGCATTAAGAAACCACAGTCGGGAGAGAGGTGAGATGAGATTTAACTGAAGTGAGGCGTATCCCGTCGTACAACGTCAGCGATGTGCTCTTGAAATGTGGCGGGTATTTTTCGCTTCTCTTTGGCTACGAACCGTTCGAGCGTCTAACCACCCCTTCAAGGCGGCATTATCGTCTTCGTGCGTAGTTTCTTCGCGAGAGGGCGGCAGGGCGGTTCCAAGGTTTAGGCGGCTGCCAAGGCCGTCCTGCTTAATCAGGCTAGCCTGCTCCTGACGCGTCTTAGTTCAGCGCGGTGTGCGGCTGCTCTACAATGAATTAGCTCACCCCGGTGGCCTGCAGCCAGACTGCTACAGTATCCTCTTCATGCCGCAGAAGCGCAGTCGCGCCGACGATCCCAGTGACGCCCATCTGCCCGCGCGCAAGCGCCAACGAGCCCAGCGCTCCCAGTCTGCTCCTCTGCCGTCACCCTCCTCGTCGCCCTCACAGCCGCTCGAAAGCCCGCAATGCCCCGTCCCCCTTACGCGCAGCAATCTGCACCTCTGGGAACAACTCTCGTCTGGCGTATCGCGCGCTTCCATGGCGCCGCCCAGCGCCTCAGAGGGATGGAGCCGCAAAAGCGTCGACGGCGAGGCCAAGCTCGAAGCCCACAACATATACGTCAACCAGAAGCGCGCCCTCCCCGCCGATCTCGATCTGCATATCAAAAACACCATCCGCAGAGCCCGCGAAACGACCCCTTCCGCTTCCCGCATCGCTGAGAAGGCTCCGCGCGCGGCTGCTACAGGCGAGCAGGCGGCCATCGACCTCATCGCGCCGGACATACTGTTCAGGGGCACGGCAGATGGTGGCAGCGAGGCGCTCATCACCTCCCTACCGAAGCTGAACCTACACCCGAAATACCTGCCGCTTGCGGATGCTGTGGTTGTGGAAGACACAGGCTCGCTCTCGCAGGCGCAGCCTGATACAGCGATTGGCTACGTGCGCTGCCGCGATGCTAGTCGTGCAAAGGTTGAAGCGCCGCTGACCCCGGAACAGGAGCGTACCATCATCAAGTAAGTACCCTCATCGAGCTCCCCTCGTCGCCGGCACCGCTCACACCTCGCTTCACAGGGACCCGTTGACTGCGTTGTTACACTTCCCTTTCCTCACCGCCCAGTGGAAGGGCTACACCGGCAGCGAAGGCCACTATCATGCCTCCCTCCAGGGCGCTCGCGACAGCACCTGTATCGTTAATTCCCTCTACGAGCTGTACGAAAGCACCAGACACATACCTTCAACTGTCGACACGTGCCATTTCTCTGTCACCTCGAATATGGATACAGCCAAGTTGTGGGTCCACTGGCGAGAGAACAAGGATAACGCAGCACCCCAGCATTACATGGAATGCATCCACCAGGCCTTTCTTGAACCAATCGAGGACACCATGGCCATTTTGGAGAGCTTTCGAAAGAGGCTGCGCAATATCCTCGACTATGCGACTGGACCACGGCTCGTTAGCATCCGCCATGCCATTGATGCTCTGCAGAAAAAGAAGGAAACGGAAACGGCGACCAGGGTGCCCTCTGTGCCATCTAGCTCATCATCAAAGGCGCGCAGCAGAGGTGCTTCACAATCGTCAGATCGCCGCCGGCAAGCGCACATGCCCCCACCATCTCCTCCTGCCTCTCAGTCAGCACCGCAACGGAAACGCGCACGCACGGAGGACCTGGATGATGTGGAGCGGCAATGATAGCCCTTACCGCGACGATTTTGGTGTCTCTGTCTGTCCCATACCAGGGCAAGCAAGAAGTTCTGTTGTTCCTCTTGTATCCCCCAAGACACCATCCATATTCACCACTTCCTGGTTTCATCCTTTGCCTACCCTTCTCATCCCTCCTCATCCCTCCTTGACCGCCTGAGTCGAACTCAGGTGCTACTCCATCATTCCTATGGTGTTGCGATAGGCGTCCTTGCAGCTCTCTCAGCGTTTCCCCGCTTCGGCGTGTTTAGTACGTTTGGCATGAAGCTAGTTGGCGAGATGATTCTCTCTTGTCTTCCACTTTCGAGTGCTTCTGTTAGTGGGATTTGGCGTCATATAGGAGATTAGAAATATCATCTTCAAGCTCACGAGCATCTGGCATATCCATGGCGCCTGCGCTAATGTGATATGCGTTCCTCATTGGTAGTCTCTATTTATTCCCAAGCATACCTAGCCTACAAACAGGCTATGCTAACCTTCTAGCTTCTTCCTCTGCATACTTGAAGACTTATTATAGGGTAAAGAACATAAGCTAACATTAGGCCTTTGCTGTAATTTAGGTAACATGTAAATAAATATTTAGTAGCTACAAAACTATATTAGTAAAGAGTAGATATCTGTTACCTACGTGTACTTAATACAGATTTCGAAAGTTAGAACTATACTTAAGATAGAGAATAATAGAAAAGAGAAAGAGAGGTAACTTATGTGTCTACTCCCTTCTCCTAATATCCGTATTGTTAAGGGGCCGGCTGAGCCATCTTCTCCTTTCATTGCCCGCTCTCCTCTCGCACATCCAGTGTCTTCCGCTTCAGTCCCTCCTCATTTGACTCCACCTTCCCAAGCCTCTTATATCCGCAGCTCATCCCTTCCTGAGCAAGTCCCCTGTCACGGCCTCGCGGCGGCCCACGACGCGCGTGACAGAGCGCTAGTTCATCTCCGCGTTTGAATACCACACCCTCAAGAAGCCTGCGCTGCCTCGCTGCCTCCTCCTTGCGCGTACACATTCTTTCGAATACTCCTGCGGTGTTCGGGGTCGAGCCAAGGTTGTCAAGGGTATCGATCGGACTGTCAAGATAGGGCGTCAATGGCCTCGGGATCGAAGGGGTAGGGAGCGGTATAATGGAAGGACGTTGCAGATCTTCGGACGGCATCGCTGTATCCGCAAGCGTTCCAAGAGACTGTCGCTGGTCTCAGACATGACGGTAGAGGAGTGACGATGTAGGGTAGGTTCGGACGGACGGCCCAGCAATGCGGCGGCGGGATCAGGATAGGAGACGAGAAGAGACGAGAAGAAGACATCGCTGGTTCAATCTACGACCGTAGCGGCAAAGCTAGCTAGCTACGACACAATTTCGCCCTCAATCTGTTTTGCGTTGGGAGACATCCGTCCCAAACAGGCTTAGCGCGACCCGGGCGCAAATGATCGGGACGAACGAGGCTGCTGCGATGGCTCCGGCCGAGACATGTTTAATGGCTGTTTTCTGCTGGAATGGCACGCTAATGTCAGGGCCCTAGGGCGCTGCCGGCAAGGAGGGACGATCTCGACTAGCTGAACGATGCGGGCGGTCCGCATTTCCTCTGCGGGCGGCTTCAAGCCGGCCTGGACCTGGACTACGCAACTTCACTCCCTCACATGGAAACCCGGCCTTTCTGCTCTTTCTTCTACAATCTTCCATATCTTGGGTATCGTTACATTCCATCTCATTAACGACAGCGCAGATCCCAACTTGCCTCCTCCCCGCGAACCGCTTCTTCGAAGGGTCGTCTCCTCAGCCGACTCTCTCAGTCCCAGCCTGCCTCGTCGACCCTCCTCACTTCTTCTTCTTATTCTTCTTCTTCCCTGGCTGCTGCTGCTGTGGCGGCTCCTGCCCCCCATCCATCTCCACAACCCCCGGCCTCGCAAAATGATACTCCTGCTCTAGCTCCACCGCGCCTGCGGTTTCCGGACCTTTCCCGTACCCTCCGTACCCTCCGCCATATCCTGCTCCCGGGGGCGGCGGCGTCATATACTGCGGCGGCGGCGAAACACTCTGCTGATACCCCGGCATATAACCCTGGTGATTCATATATCCCATCTGCTGTTGCGGAGGTTGCTGGAACTGCGACTGGAAAGGAGCACCAGGCTGCGCGGGCGCCACGACGGTGGTTGACGATTTCTTGCCCTTTTTCTTGCCCATACACCAGAGAAGGACACCAAGGCCGGCGAGGAGGAAAACAGCGAGTGGAACGCCGACACCGATGCCGATCTTCGCGCCCGTGGGAAGTCCTGCGCTGCCTCCGCTTCCGCTGCTATCTCCCCCGCTCGCTGCGGCAGCAGTACCGGTAGGGTTCGATGCTCCCGCCGTGCCTCTTCCTCCCGCTGTCGCCGTGGAGTCGGGGATGGAATAACCAGGGACACTGTACGATGCCAGGTCGGCTAATATGGACGAGTAGTAGCTGCTGTCGTACGAAGAGTAAAACTCCGGGTACAGCGATTCGGGATACAGAGAGGAGAATTCGGCGAGGAGACTCGAGATGCCGTATGGATCGTCGGGATTGGAGATCTGGCGCGGGAGGGCCGGCGGCGGTGTTGTCATGGGGCCATGAGGAGACATTGTTCGGACGATGGCTACACAGGACGAAGCTGCGGGAGATCGGCCGGCGGGGTATTGAGAAGGGTCTCTCTTGAAGCTAGCAGCACCAATCTTTCGTGTCGCATACCAAACGCAGTATCCCCCAGTATTCCTGCGACCTAATAGCACTGGACGAGCACAATCATGGGATAGACAGCAGACGAAAGCCGAGCAGCATCGAGAGAAAAGAAACGAGGTACGAACCCCTCGAAACACGAAAGCCGTGCAAGCGCCCAGTCTCAGCCGCAGCCCCTCAACAGCTATCCAAATCCAGACTACTCGTCCCACGACGATATCTGTGCAGGCGCCACGGCCGTGGTGGACGAATGGCGTTGCGAGCGAAGCGAGTGTGGCGTCGTGAACACGAAGAGCTGAACCAGGGGTATGCCGGAACCGAATGCGGGCATGATTTCATTCCCAGACGTGCAGTTTGATTCGGGAACGTGGGAGATTGAAAACAGATGTTTGAGGGTGGACGCAGGACAATCAGGTGAACATGCTGGCACGGCATATGGAGTTTTCTGGTGACTTCTCGTGCGGTCATCTAAGATACTCACATGCTATCTCTCCTGTGTATAAAAGACCGGAAAGAGCTTTAAGAACACTCACTTACGTTGCCATTCATCAGTCTCGTAGACCCTCCGAACGGCCGCAATGGATGACGCAAACTCTCTGGTCGCAGCACTCTCCAATCTTCGGCTAGAATGCCTTCTGAGAACGCGCGGAAAAAATGGAAGAGCATACAATCGGCAAGCAGCATTTCACTTATCTGTACAGCCCTGCAAGGGAAAAGGCGCTTACGAAAAGGAACATTCTCGCAGCGTAGAGAGAAAGCGGTTTATTCCCATTGAACCCCAACAGAGTTCTCGCAAATACACCAAAACCACCTACCAAACTAAACATTCCAAGAGCGAACGAGATGAGGGTGCCTTGTCCGCAATATGAAGCACAACCAACGCCCGCAACGCCAGTATCAGCAGAGGCTCTGAGCTCGCTCCTTAGTATGATCAAACAGGTTCCGAATGATGGAGCAAGCAGCCAGCACAAGCGAGGCTCTAACAGAAGGTCAACAATGCCCTCCTTAACGATCGAAATCAACTCCTAGCTAACATAAACGACAAAGGCAAAGCTCGCTAATCGACTAAGGCAAAAGTACTAGGAAGGGCGAAGGTAATAAGTTAGGAGAAGCTTAAGGAGGCACGAGCGGAGCGTGCTGAGAAAGAGGCTAAGAAGGCTGCTAAGGAGGCTAATATTATCGCGAGTGCTCCGCTAGGGGCAGAAGAAGCTACCGCGGGCAAGAAGAAACGCAGTTAGAAGCAAAAGAGTACTACGCCAGAGCAGGAAGCTATAGACCTAGAGCCAAGGGCCAAAGTTGCACGGACGAGCGAAGCACAAGTTGAGGTCGGGATTGTCCCAAAGCCATATAGAGCCCCAGAGGCAAAAGATGTACTAGCGGAAGAGCAACGATTATATACATTCGGCGCAGTCGTGCAGAGCTAGCTGATGCTTAAAGTAGGGCCTGTCTTCATTACGCCGTGTCGTGCCCGCGGGTGCGCCCCATTCCTTATGCCTCGCTACGCCTTGCGGTGGCCGTCCCTGCAGTCTTCTTCATGCGTCATTCTCCCGCCCATTGTCATTCTACCTGTCGTGCTGGCTGTCCTTTTTATCCCGCCCCAAGTGTAGAAGTCGGTAGTGTACGAGCGTATTTTCGGTATCATGTTTTGGGCGTTCTGCAATCGATCAACTCGGCTGAAGCTGAATTAGCTGAGGTTTTACTTGGAGGGTTTATACTGACAATTTGCCGTTGGGATTACGGGGTACACTATAGACCTCGTGTGGAAGTGTGTTCATATCAGGGCTGACGATCGAGTCTTTGAACATGTCGAGTGTGATGTGGAAGTATTTCTGCGGGAGTGACGGGTCCTGGAAAGGCTCGACGTGTGCGGCATGTTCTGGAAAGGAGTCTGGAACACCGGCGAATGTGAGGTATACCTCAATGGCATCATTGAAGTCAGGTTGCCTCCAGGATTCTTTGTCATCGACGCGGAGTCTTAGCACAACTCGCTTTGGTTGACGGTCAGCGGCTGGTGCGGCTGCATTGTCCAGAGTGGGCATCGTGGCAGGATGTCGGAAAACTTGTTTGAGAGCGAGGCCGGGCAGACGTAGTGGATTTAAAGAAGAACTAAGGAGAGCTAAGGGGTGCAATGCTGGCTAGGGAGGGTTGTGAGACGTGAGACGTGAGCGTACGATGTCGTGAGCGGAGTGCTGAGAGACATCCCTTAAAGCTTGGCAGAAAGTCATTACAATCAGCGACACTCTCCCGCACCCAGCACCATCCACGCCATTCTTAGTGGTATGCTTATTGCGAGCCCTGGGAACTTGGAGGTGATTTCGCATCGCAAGGAGGACAATTTCCGGGGTAGTTTCGGTCCTGGGCATCAAGAACCCGTGGAAGGTCTCGATAGTTGCCACTTGCTGGCACACAGAGTGCCTGGTCCGGGCGTGCCAGGGCTGCAGTGCATCGTTGATAGCCGTAAGCGTAGTAGTGGTCGCAGCCTGAAAAATGTCGCACAAGTTGCTCGCACATGGTGATTATGCGTGCGGACTCGTCTTGATCAGTTCCTACGTGGGATGGCAATGCCACGAAATCACTCGTCACAAGCTTGGCTTGCTTATCCTCGTGACCTTGATTAGTTACGCTGTAATTATGTAAGACGTGCACTAACCTCTTAGAGATAACTAGAGTTACTTTACTTATAGTAACGTACTTTATAAGCAAACTACCTATATAAGTAAACTATCTAAAAATACTAATATACTTTACTATTAAAAGCTCTATACTATCGAATAGTCTATAATTTCTTAGCAAGAAAAATTAATAAGCATTTACGAGTTTTTCTTAAATAACTAAGTAAAACCTTAATATTTTTCTATAAAATTATAAATAAAGATAGAAATATACTATATATATCTACTATTAAAATTATACTATATATTTCTTATTAGATAAGCTTAAGATAAGCCTTTTTCTAAAAAGTAGCTATTTTTAGAGTTTAAACCTTAGAAGTACTAGTAAACCTTTATAATAATCTATAAAACTTATAGAATATAATATTTAGAACTTAATAAAGGTTTCTAGAAAACTTATATAGAGCTAGCTCTTCTAGGTATAGTATAATAAGAGATAGAAGTTAGAAAAATATTTTCTTTAGAGTTTTCTCTTCTAACTATATATATATATATATATAGTTAATCTAGCTATATAAACTTATTATATTATAGATTATAGTAGGCTTTAACTATATAAAGCTTACTAACTAATAATATAGTAGCTTTAAGTAGTTATTTAGAAGTAGAGTCTTTTTATAGTATAGTATAGAAAGAAAGAAATATACTAAAACTATTCTAAAGTTATTACTTCTAAATAGATAGAAAGCTTATAATATATAACTTTATATAACGTACTCTACTAGTAAACTACCTATACTACTAAACTATCTAAAAATACTAAGTCTTTACTAAAAACTACTATCTCTATTATAAAGCTCTCTATAAATATCTAATTAACTTTAGATAAATTCTAGATATAGCTTACGCTTTAGACTATTTAGTAGAACCTAGAGCTAAGCTTATAACATGTTAGCGCTCTCTATAACGTACCTTAGAAGCGAATTCGCAATTAACGTAATAAAGTAACTTAAAGACATAAAAAGATATCTAATTTAATAAAGCTTACTATAAATAAAGAGTAGATAATAGTTAAGTATATACTAGACCTAGACGCGTAAGAATTTACTCTCTAGCTTACTACTATTTAAGATATAGCTAATTAGCTACTTACTAAGTAAAAGAAAAAGATTATAGGTAAGAACTAGCTAAATTACTTTATTATATACTATTCTAAGCTTAAAATATAGCTTAATTATAAGTATAACTATTAGAAAGTAAAGTAAGAAGATTCTATAATTATTTAGGTATAGTTTAACCTAGTAGGTAATATAAAGGTAAAGTATAGTATTACTAATAAAGATATATATAATTTTAATAAATCTAGCTTTATAATAGAAATAATATTATCTTATATAGTAGTTACTAGCTCTAAAAGATAATTATAACTAAAAAGTCTTTAACTAGATAATTATAAGTAGATTTTAGTAATTATAATAGTAAGAGTAGTAGATAATATATAGGTTCTACTATTTCTTATTATTATAGATAAGAACTATCTCTTAGTATAGTATAAAGATAGCTAGCTACTATATAACTAGGTTATAGCTATCTCTAAAAGTAGCTAGATAATAAATAAAGTTAGTATTATATAGTTAAAGTACTTTAAC